GCGTAAATACACGTCGAGATGGAATCCTTCGATCGGTAAAACACCTTTGGTACTCTTCAACAGCAGCACGTGCATTGCCACCACAAAATGCATATCACAATATTCAACGTGTGAAAACACAAAAGGCATTTCAGCAACACTGCACAACTACACATAATTTACTAACCATTCACGACGCTGACGCAACATACACTGTAGCCTCTGTAAGTAGCGCATGAGATTATGGCTAGTGTGACTCACAGCACTCAAGGACAAACAGATAACAGTCACAGCTGACAGGTATAGTGCATGGACCTGCTAGAAGACCACACTTTTCTCGGGTCATTATCTCCGTAACTGTTCACCTTTGGACATAGGTGTTTTGGGTTATATCGGCATACTTTAACATAAGGAACTCCCTCCCGAAGTTTGGTCCATTCCTCCTGGGACACCCTGTATATATATGTATGTAAAGTTACGGTTACATAAATTAGCAAGGTTTATGTTAGGTATACCATATTTTCTGGGTTATGAAGTTTGCTGGAGCATAAGATGAACCCAGACTTGGAAGTAAGAAATATCTTTGAACTATAAGACGTGCATGAGGTCAGTATTTTCCAGGAAAACAGTTGTGTCTTACGTTTTGGGAAACGTGGTGGTTCTTCCTTTTTAATAGAAATTGGGTAGGAATTCTGATCCAGTAAAGACAATCCTACTTCATGGTAGTGACACTGGTTCTGTTTGCTATGAATGTTTTGTTCTGTGTAGTATTGTAAGTGGTATAGACTTGTATATTTAACTGTTTGTTGTGCAATGTAAATGTGTTGAATGTACAGAACACCCTCCTAATTGATGATCTAATATGAGGTTGAGTGTCAGGCTTGTAACATAATGTTAACACACATTTATAGGTACCAATTTGTAATGATTGTTTGCTGAAAGAACACAAGGCTCCAGAACATCATTATGAACGCATGTCGGAAGCAGAAGGTCGTCAGCGTGAAGAACTCCAAAGTCTGATGACTGAAAGCAAGTCTAAAGTGGAGTTTTGCGAGGATGCATCAAGCCATCTGGCAAATGCCCTCAGCGAGTTGCAAGTTCAGTATGATAGTGCTAAAGATCTGATCCAGGAAACGTTCCAAAGCTATAAAGCAATCCTGGAAAAATATAAGGATAAAGTGTTGGAGGATTTGCAGCAGTTGCACTCCAAACAAGAACTGAAAATAATGGATACATTTCATAGGTAAAGTTTGGTTCATAAATTAGAGTACTTCAAGCAGATTGATATGTCCTCGTAGTATCCTTCATGACTTTAGTTTTGCTTTGTTGCAGCGTGGAAAAAACAATGGAGAAAATTGATGATGCATGTAAGTTTACTTCACAGCTGCTGGAACATGGGAACACTGTCGAGATTTTGTCCCTGAAGAGAATAGTTGGAGCCCAGTTACTTCACTTGATAAATAATACTCCAAAACCTGAAGTGAACACGTCTATTGAGTTTGAAACAGACATTAACAAATTTGAGGCTGCTGTCAAGGTATCCCCCTGCCTGCATAATAAATTTTAATTTATATACATTATAGCAAGTGCACATGTTAGCATAGTCTTTCCACTTGTATAACACTTCACTCCTTATTACATATATGTATATATATAATATTTCATATCCAAAACTAACCGAAATATATGGACTCTATTCACATTTTTTCAGATCTCATAAAGATTTACTGATCAAAAAGAAGTAAAAATAATGTTATATACATTTTTCAGTCATTAGCTTGTAACATTGTAGAATAAATTATGTTGAAATGGCTGCCTCTTACCCCCAAAAATGTAATATTTGAAGGAAATATAACTGATGATGAGTTTATAACAGGGTAGATATCAACCAAGATTTCAGTATGCTTGGTCGTCAACTTACAACTGACTTCCGTTCTGACTGACAGGTCATAAGTTGATCTGGATGTATGTCGGCCATATATTTATTAACAGCATTTTTTAACCTTTCTAATCTTTTTATCATATTTATAGTTTATTTTTTAAAAACTTACATTTTAATCATCTTTTATGTTTCATTTTTTGTGGTCGTAAGTCGACGACCAAGTGTTTTTGGAGGAACAGCAGATACACAGTTACGAGGGAGAGTCAGTAAATGGGTCACAAATGGAAGTAAAACAGCTGTATTAGACATAACAGGTTTCCTGTGTGTATCACTTGGTAGCAGTGCAGTCCAGCTTCATGACAGTCTAGGTAGCAGACATGCATGCATATGTTCAGAAGCCGGTATCAGTAGTCACAATGGCAATCGTGCTTGAGGGATGTAGTACCTTGGATCACCGTTCTGTAGTGCGTTTTTTATGGTCAAAATGATTCTTCAAAGGATATTCATAAACAGTATTTCCTGTTTATGGTGACAAGTGTTTGTTGCATAAAACAATTCACAGCTAGGTCGAGAAATTCTCCCAAGGATGTTCGAAAGTCACAGATGATGCCTAAGACACCCTGTTGAGGTTGCAACAGAAGCAGCTGTGCAGCGGTTGGAAGAGATGATTCAAGCTGACAGCAGGATAAAAGTAGACAGTGTAGCAACTGCACTAGGGCATACACATGATTTAGCATACAGCATAATTCATGATGCTTTGAAGTTCTGGAAAATGAGCACATGGTGAGTACCCAGAGAACTGAAGAAATAATCCAAATGGGTCTGCCCTTGCAACTTCTCTTCTGGTATGCAGATGAAGGAGAAAATATGCTTAACAGGATTGTTCCTGGGGACAAATCATGGGTGCATCACTACCAACCTGAATCAGAGTGTACTTAAGTGCAATGGAGACATCTCAGTTCACCTTTTAACCAAAAAGGTTAAGGTTATGCAGTCAGCTGGGAAGGTTATGTTTACTGAGTTTTTGGATTGTCAGTGAGTACTGTTAGCCCATTTTCAGAAGCGTGGTGAAAATGTGAAATCTATATCATACTGTGAAGTTCTGTTGGAGCTTTGGGATGCAATTTGCAGAAACTGTTGAGGCCAGTTGCAAGAGGAGTACTGCATCATGACAATGCCAGACCCCATACAGCCCTGATCAATCCCGGAAGGAATTCAAGAACTACAGTGGGAACTTCTTGAACATTCACCTTACTTGGCTCCTATTGACTTCCATCTGTTTGGTTTGCTAAAGAACCACCTTGGTTGCAGACGTTTGACTGATGATGAAGAGGTTGAAACAGAGGTGCAGAAGTGGCAGAGACAACAGTCAAAAGACATCTATGCTGTGGGTTTTGACACACTGGTAAAGTGATTGGACTAGTGTATCAGTGTTGGTGGTGAATATGTCAAGAAATAAGTGTTTTTGAGGTTCAAATATGTTTTACATTTTTGTGTCCATTTATATCCATTTGTGATCTATTTGCTGACTTTCCCTCATACATATCGTTCAGTGAGGTTCTGTTCATTTAATATGAGTGAAACTGACTGTGGCACGGATGCCTTCTTGAGAATATACTCAAGAAATTCTCTGTGTTCTATGGAGCCTGAAGGATCACTGCCATATTGAAAAAGAGCCTTACAGTGCTTCCTGTTCAGAGCAGGATGAATCCAGTCTGTATCCTCCCATCATATTTCTGTAAGATTGATTTAAAAAATATCTGTCTATTCCTATATCTGGCAAGTGGTCTTTTCCCTTGTTTTTCTGACCAAACTTTGTATGCATTTCTCATCCTTCTCTTGTGTGCTACATGCCTCACCATCTCGTTATCATGGATTTATTCATCCTAATAATATTTGGTGAAGAGTACAGATTTTGAAATTCCTTATTCAGATCTCTCCATCCTCCTGTCACTTCTTTTCTTGGGTCCAAACAATCTACCCAACACCCTTCTTTCTCATAAATATAACTACATTTGGCAGATGTAAATTATTTGTGTCCTAAACTTCATGGCGAATGGTGAGTTGTAGACTATATTATTATGTGATGTATGTGTGAAATCTGAAGAATGCACAAATTGTACTTTGCGAGCAAGGGGAACAGCACAAAATTCCAGTTTTGATTATCTTTATCATTGTATTTGGTGATGAGTACTCATATAAGAATGTGAAGTGAAGATTCCATTTTAGATCCTCTCTCTAACAGAAGAAGGTGATCTTGTGTGCATGGCATGCATGTGCGCCACTCAAACTCTGTGTTGAAGGTTTTATTGTGAGGGGAGGAACAGTTTGAAGTGGTGGTTGCAAGATATCAGTATGGTGCTTTTCTGTGTTGTGTTTATATGTACAGTAATTTTGTTCTGGAGTGCAGTAATACAGATCTATGCTTTCTGTTCTCAACAGGCAACATTTGGAACATTCTGTACAGAGACTACTTCCACGCCTAAAGAAACAACAACTCCGCCAAACTTGCCAGGAGTGCAGCCCCTCAATTTAAGTGGAGTTCTTGGTGCCGCAGGAATGGAAATTGCAAATGCTTGTCCTAACACTGTAACAACCACTAGCAGCCCCGTTTCTCTCCCAACTTCAATGCAGTCCTCATTTGAAGGCGAGCTTGCTTCTGGAGTTGGTCCTGCATTTTCCCTTCCTCCAGGTGTGCTAGGACCAACCGAAGGTCCTCCAGTTCCACCATCCCTGCCTCCAACAACTCTGCATGGTTTGACTAGCATTCAAGAGTACAATCTACAGCAGCTGGCAAGCCTTGCAGAAAAAGAAGCAGCCAGCTCTCCGGTTGTTGGAGTATCACCATCGCATCCTGCTCCAAGTTCAAACCCAAGTCCCACTCCTTCCTTCACCCTGGCTGATCTCTTCTCTGGGGACATCAGCTCTACAAGCAATGCACTCAACAATTTACAGGCCCTTGCAAAATTGGGCAGTGTGTCACTCAACAATCAGGGTGAGTTCCCAATCCCGTTGCAATGCACCATTACAAAATCATATCACTATTAACACAAGTGTCAGTGGTAGATGAGGCTGGAGTTTCTAATGTAATTATACAGTGCGTTCAGTTAAGGAGGAAACTTCACAACACCGCTGACCCAGCCCAACATTCCTCACAGATTGCTGCTGTAACTGCTGATAGCAGAATGAGTCATTAGCACTGATACATGCGCACCGTTACATTTGCAGTTACAGCAGCAATCTGTGAGGAATACAAGTATTGGGCCCGGTCAGTGGTGTTGCGAAGTTTCCTCCTTGATTGAACACCCTGTACATTCAAATAAATAAATAAATAAATAAATAAATGCTACACTTTGTGTAAGAAAAATGAAGTAATATACTAACTTACTTAGGCAGTAGGTCCAATCCACATACAGTAGGAATGGTTTATTACACCTGAATTAATTATTCTGTATGGTACTCCTTTGGTTTCACTGAGAATATGAGCTTTCATACTGAAATTCCTGTATTTGATCAAATCTGAGGTATCTAAAGTGTGATTTTGATTTTATTGCCTGAAATGTGAAGGCATGTCATCATACGTGAACACCGTGTTACTTTAAGCACCAGGTTTCCTTCTAGACCTCTCTAGTTTTAGTGAAAAACAATAAAATAAATCATAACTTAATGATTAGTGAGTCTTCCTTGATTTAAAATCTGGTTTCTCTATCAGAGCTCTGGGTATTGATCAGTAGTGGTGTGGTGGAAGCCTATTATAATAGTTCATAACAGCATGAAGAATTTCTGCTAAAATGAATACTTTTTGTAGTATTTTAACAACTGGAAATGTATAAACTGCTCCAAAAATTGAACAACAAATGATTTTTGTTATCATTGTAACTGGTAAAATGCAGGAGTTTATGAATGATTTAATATTTATTTTATAATGTGGTTAGTGTGTGTGAATTATATTGTCAAATTTGAAGTTGATACACAAAATAAAAAAACAGTTTTAATAGCAGTGAATATTCTGATTTAAGTACCATGAACGTCATTTTTTTTTTCCAAATTTGCATAGTGTCTTATTTCTTGGTAAATGTAGCATGAGAGGTGTGCATTGTCACTGGACATAATTTTAATATTTGTACATTAATTTGGATAAATACTTGGAATTGAATTGATATGTGAAGAGTGAATTGTGGTATCACATTCATGTGTAAAATGTTGATATTGTGAAACAAATTACGTGGGATTTATGTCTGTATTAATAAGAAATGACCGGGTGTTCACAGGTCAGATTGTGGTGAATGGTGGGCAGACTGTGAATTTAGTGGACCCCCTACCCCATGGTGCACCACCACAGCCCGGGGCTGGTCACACTGTTCACAGTTCCACCCCTACCCCTCCGCCTAGCCAGGCTCTGCCCCCAACCCTCGGAGCTCTCCTTAACGGTGAGCCCCATTCCTCCAGAAAGAGACTCATAGCCAAATGTATGTTTGCACCAACACTGGATGTGTTAAAGGGGAGGCAGAAACTTGTGTATAAGTTTGTGGACACATGAAAAGTCCATAATTACCATTATTTTCATAAGTAGAATTGAAACAACAGCAGAAATGCTGTGTAGGTACTACATAGGGCTGTCCAATTCCATCATAATTATATTTCACATGTTTAACATTTTTGTGCCCATCCCAGCAAATCATTGATAATTATTCTACTATTTGTCATACATACAACTATACAACATTTTGCCTCCTGTTACCGCTAGTTTGCTGTACTATCAAAATATTTTTTTTGTGTTGGTAGAATAGATGTATGTATGACAGTTGAATGTTTCTTTTCATCTGACCTGATACTACATGAAGTTTTCCCTGAGTTGTATACCACCAGATAGCCACATGATATGACTTTGAACCTCTAGAGTATATCTTTAAAAATGTAACAGGATTTCTGGCAAGCAGGAGAAGGGTCATACCTCCTTAACAGTGAGCCCCATTCCTCCAGACAGAGACTCGTAGCCAAATGTATGTTTGCACCAACACTGGATGTGTTAAAGGGGAGGCAGAAACTTGTGTATAAGTTTGTGGACACATGAAAAGTCCATAATTACCATTATTTTCATAAGTAGAATTGAAACAACAGCAGAAACGCTGTGTAGGTAGTACATAGGGCTGTCCAATTCCATCATAATTATTTTTCACATGTTTAAAATTTTTGTGCCCATCCCAGCAAATCATTGATAATTATTCTACCATTTGTCATACATCTCTGCAGTTCTCAAATAATAAGTTTCATCTTACACATTTATATGTCTCGATTGGAGGGGCAAGCAACCGTTAGTCATTCCTCTTCTCCCCCATGACTCATTCCTTGGCCTCAAGTCAAAATCACAAAATTTAATAGTTGTAGAATTATTAGTGGGGTCTTGTGCTTTATTGAAATGTTTGTTTATTGAAAAATAATGTTCTCTATGATTTATATACAGTTGTGGGTGTGTGATTTTTATTCTAGTCCTGTTTGAAAGCAGTTGCAAGTTCCACTAATTGGTTGCTCATCAAATATTGATCAGTTCATTTGTTGCACCTGTAATTTTGAAAGGTGGAGTCTGAAGAAAATTTGTGGCTTCTGGCAAAGAAGAAGGCCAAGACTTTGTATAATGATAATATTTTACTCTTAAAAGGTATCCATAATAAAAATTAATGTGAGTTTTTAGGCACATGCACAACCCTAAGGAGCAGCTATTAATTTTGCTTGTTCAGTCCATCTGCCTATATACAAGAAACAACTCAAGGACTGCTGGACAGATTTTAAAGAAATCTGATATTGGAGAATTTCATGAAAATTTGTTTACCTCTGTCACTTTTTATTTAGAATGGACACTTTTACAGCAACTTACATGAAGACTTGCATGTGTTTTTGCACATTTTCAGCACAACTCACTATAAATATTTTTGGGACAGAAATATGTTTCTAGCAAGTTGTAGAGAAAAATGAAACAGGTGTCATGTTTAAAACATTTTTCTGCAAGTACTACTGTTTTTGAGGTCATTAAACAAACGTAATGCTGTGTGAACATAACAGATACACTCATTCAACAACTGGGTCATTCTGAATGAAAGCAGTATACAAGTTAGATCACATTCATTTAAGTTAGACTTATTTTAATGTAATGCCCTATTACAATAGGACTTTTAGGCATATATAGAAAAATTGTATATAATTTTATTGTGTATTATATATTGTGACGCATTACCTTACGTCCATCACCGCGACAGCTGCTACAGTCAGAACGGACACTTCCATGACAACGAATATGTGGTAATTGTGGAGTTCCCACAGTGACATATCATAGAAATGAATTGTCATTGAGTAACAACGGATGAGACGAGACATGTTACATGTTACCGGTGTAATCTATAAGGAACGTTCCCAAAGCAACGGATTGCCGAACACGTGAGATCGAATCTTGGCGAGGGGTGTCCTCTATTAAGTCAGCGTGCGCCTTATATAAAGGACCTGGCCTCGAACGGAAGTTGAGCACTAGAAGATTGGAGTAATTGAGTATTGAGTATTAAGTATTAGAGTATTGAAGTATTGAGTATTGAGAATGAGACAATCTTGGGATAGCTGCGCCAGAGACAGCTGAGGTCCAACCACAGCCAAGGACAGTTGAGATGTTGCATTGGAGTACTGGGCCAGAAATCAAGTGATACTGCAAGTAATAATAATTGTAAGGTGTGTAAGTGTGAGTGTCCAATAAAGATTCGCTAAATCTGAGACCCACGTGAAGTTATTTGACGTACCCAACATGTGACAAGTGGTGTCAGAAGTGGGATCAGTTTGGATTAATCGGATCGAATTTAAAGGATTGGACTTACACACGTGACCGACAGGATCAAACTTAAAACATGAAAACACCGCGCGAAAAAATGGAATCACAACAAATAATGGAATTCCCGCTAGCCACGCAAGCATGGGTGGACACCAACCAGGCAGAGGCCGACACCAGAGATGAACAAATGATGGCCGATTGGAAAGCCTGGCAAGAAGAGATGGCTGTAATGAGAGGCAAAAGGGTGAACGACAACCACAATGAGACGTTGGCCTGCCAAGAGATGGAGGCACGTCAGGAAGAGAAGAAGCCAACCTCACTGGACAGGAAACCTGAGGCGGCAGAACAACAAGAAGTCCCTAAGGAAGATGCCGTTGTGCAACTGGTCAAAGGACGGAAGAGACAGTATAGGTTCAAGAAGCAAGCTGCAGAGCGATGTGAGGAGCCAAAGGAACTGACCTGAGGAATTTGTGGATCCCGGAGGAGGTTGGCTGCCACCTGCAGAAAGGTATCCCGCCATGCAGTAGTGGCACAATGTAGGAGAGATGCCTTCAGGAAATAATGGACCCAAAATCAGGATGGGTGCCAGAAGAAATATGTCACCGCTCCTGGCAGGATGTCCTGCCATGCAGGAGTGGCACAGCGCAGGGGACACATCATCGGGAACAACCAGACTAGGAACAGCATTGCAAGAGGAGCCCCCAAAGGGCAGAGACTTCAGTTGGAACCGGAGGGCAGTATTGGAGTGAAGAATGAATACACAAGACCGGCTGCATCCTGCGAACGAGAGGACAGCCGGCCGAACCCTCAGGAAGACCCAAGGGCTGGACATCGGGAAACAAGCAGTAGAGATTTCCAGCAGATGACAGAACATCAAAAACTGGACACTATGGAGGGCTCGGCCCCCTCCAAAACGAAAGAAAGGAAACTGCCCGCATGGGCGGAACCAGTGACGTAGAAGTACCGGCCTCTCTAGCAAGAATGAATATGAGAAAATGGGACCAACAACTGCTGGACCTTGGAAGTGCTCGGGACTAGCACTCTGGAAGGAGGGGGGCCGATAGAAGGAAGGCAAAATACCAAGGACAGGCACAGGTAACACATGGAAGATGACACCTTAGGAAACAAAACCAAGGAAGTACCGTTAGGCTGTTTGGGAACGAAGAACCTTTAGAAGGGAGCAATGTGACGCATTACCTTACGTCCATCACCATGACAACCACTACAATCGGAACGGACACTTCCATGACAATGAATACATGGTAATTGTGGAGTTCCCGCAGCAACAAATTGTAGGAACGAATTGTCGTTGAGTGACAATGGATGAGACAAGACACGTTACCAGTGTAATCTATAAGGATCGTTCCCGAAGCAACGGATTGCCAAATGTGTGAGATCGAACCTTGGCGAAGGGTGTCCTCTATTGAGTCCGCGTGTGCCTTATATAAAGGGCCTGGCCTCGAAAGGAAGTTGAGCACTAGAGGATTGGAATAATTGAGTATTAAGTATTAGAGTATTGAAGTATTGAGTATTGAGAATGAGAAAATCTTGGGATAGTCGCCGCCAGAGACAGTTGAGATCCAACCACGGCCAAGGACAGTTCAGATGTTGCATTGGAGTATTGAGTATTGGGCCAGAAGTCAAGCGATAATAATTGTAAGGTGTGTAATTGTGAATGTCCAATAAAGATTCGCTAAATCCAGACGCATGTGAAGTTATTTGTCGCTTGACATACCCAACATGTGACAATATGATAACATTTAACATTGAAATCATAATAATGATAGCAGTTCAAGTTCTTACTTCTCACCAGTATCAGTTAACAGTGAGATAGTTGGATGTGAATTTAATGTTTGTTATAAAGGAAGAGTTCGTAATAGTGGTAGTTATTTAATTTATGATTCTGTCTGCTGATCACACATGTTCAGTGTACACTGTAAATTTTTACAGTCTTTTATTTGTGTCCACCCAAGTACCAAATGAGCTAGGAGTTCTTTTAATATTCAGGAAACTTTCAGGGACGTCTGAATTTGTAACATTAAAAATATTATAAAAAGTAAAAAAATTATTATAATCCACATTTCATTTCAGCAGAGTGGGTAGTAAGAGAAAAGATTTGAGACTGAAAGAAGACGTTCTGAATTTGTAGTGTTTACCGTGCTGATGATTCAGTGTTCAATATTGTGAGGCTAGCAGGGACTGTAAATTTATTATACAATTAATAATGTATTTATCTATATAATTTACACTAGTACAGGATGCCCTGTGTGTTAAATTTGTCTGATATAACCTAATAGTTTCTGCCAACATTCTAATTTGTAATTATGAGTGTATTATAAATACTGATTTTTCTACAGAATGCTAGATAAATTTATGACTTCATATTTCCTTTAAAAACTTCACTTTCCTGACACTAGTCATTGATAGTTATCAGAGTCATAGGAAGCTAAGTATAGATCTTCTGCATTTTCCATGTTTTATATTCCATGAGTGTGGCTTTTGACAAAAGTTGCATTGTTTTTACCACAAAATTTCAGGACCCTACGTCAGGTAGCACTAGTGTTGCGCCCCCTCCCCGCTGAAGATGTTCATGTGGCAGCCATGTTGGTATTATTTGTGGCAGGAATTTAAAGTATACAGAGACTTGTAATAGTCTAATGTTTGTACAGAACTTCATTTATATCTGTCACATTGTTCAGAAGTTATTGGTAGGTGACAGATGTGTGCTCAATACTGTAATCCTGCCATTCCATATGAAATAGGAATGTAACCTGAAGGTCTTAATGGGCGAGAATGCCAGGTTATTACAATTCAAACTAGTGGTATCATCTAACTTCTTACACTGATGACTGCCAATGAAATTTGTTTTAATTTATACAGCATGTGGATGTTTGTTGTACGTGACAGTCCCATATATTTAGTTTATCATGGTGTTTACAACTTAATGAAAGGTCATTTTAACAGATGGCATTAAGGAGTTATGACATAAAATTGAGTGGGAATTCTTTCCTGTCTTATGAGACAACTCTGTTGTCCTCAGTTTTGTATTTCTTTTGATCAGAGTTGCAAAGTACTAAATATTAGATTAAATTAATATTATAAGAAGTCTGTGTGTAGAACAGCAGCATTCTTTTTTCTTCATTTAATATTGGCATAAAATTGAAAATAAATTAGTATTCATCATGTTGAATGTTTGAGCATGCAACACAACCTCACCAGTCACATAGGCTCAGCATGAACATATGTTACTTTTATCTTGAAAGTGGTTAGGACAGCTTTATCCCCGTGGGACTTTAAAGTGTCTTCAGTCCTTCCACACTATGACAAACTAATCCTTGAAATAGGACACAGCTTATTTCACTGTCCTTTTTTAATTTTTTTGTGATATTCATCTTCACCCCTGCCATAGGTACTTTTTTTTAATGTTATATTTTAGCGTCCTGTTGCACTGATTTAAGTCCATGATTTATTTAAACCGTCTTGCAGTGCATACACTCATTTATCTCCTCCTCTCCCTCTCACTACATGTTTCGGCATAATAATACCATCTTCAGGTGCTTACTCATCGACGCCAAACTAGTTCATTGCATGCCTTGTCCTCATATTAAAATAACTAAAATATATATCTATCATATACATTGACAAATGTCAAACGTTAAAAATATTAAAATATTAACACACTGCATGTGTTATAACACACGCAGTCACAGGAGCAAGACACAACAAAAGCACAACACACACATGATAGTGAAGGAGTGCTCCAACAGAGGAGAATGGGCGTGACTGGCGTAGTGAGGTGTGACGTAGAGATGTGGTATCCTGAAAAATTTTAATATTTTTAACGTTTGACATTTGTCAATGTATATGATAGATATATATTTTAGTTATTTTAATATGAGGACAAGGCATGCAATGAACTAGTTTGGCGTCGATGAGTAAGCACCTGAAGATGGCATTATTATGCCGAAACATGTAGTGAGAGGGAGAGAAAGAGATAAATGAGTGTATGCACTGCAAGACGGTTTAAATAAATCATGTACTTTTTTTTAAACAATGCTTAACTTTCACTGGCTCCAAAACAGTGAAAGATAGGGGGCATAGATGAATTGGAAAGGAAATGGTCATGACCTTATTGAATTACTGCCCAGTATTTGCTTGGAGTGTCTGAGAAGAACAAGTGACCTTGGGATAGTGGTATCCTGGCTGAGATTTTAATTCATCATCTCCCAGATAGAAGCATTAATTGCTAGACCAACCTGTTTTGTGTGATTGGTAGAGATTTTATAAATACCTGAATGATTCGAACACCTTCTTGCAGCTTAAGCTAATCTGTTGGGTGTTCATAAACAGGTACATGTTGGGGAATTGGAATTCTCCAGACAGCAAAGAATATCAGATTATGACGTGTGTGTGTGTGTGTGTGTGTTATAAATGAGTAAGGCCCCAAATGTTTCAGTTTCATACTTTAGTGACCTTATATTGTTTTGTCTTTATTGTTATATTTATAATTTATTGTTTATGGGTTTTAAAGTATCTTTGTTTTTACATATAGTAAATACAGATTATGCACAGCATAATAATCTGCATATGTCTGTGTGTGCACTTACTTTATGCACAAGCAGTAAATGTAATCTCCTTGATATGGTCTTATTTACACATCTTTGTGGTGTGAATGTGCATATGCAGAATGGTTTTCTCTGGGATAGGTGGTGTTGATGTCAGTTTTAGTTGCATCATCTTTGCTTGAAGGACTTGTTCCTTTTAGTAAAATGTGATTTATATCTAGGCTCATAGGGTTTGGTTCAGTTTTCTTTTACATTTTTATTACTTATTACAGTGTTGAAGTGATTACTATTTTTTTCTACCATTCATTGTAGTTTAGCTTATTAGAATGTATTAATTATGTCATGTGTCAGTGGTTTATCATGGGGATGAGGCACAGAATGGTCGAAGGTGACAGTTTTTCCCAAAAGAAAAGAAAATGAAATCTTAATTTGTTATGGATGCAGACCTTCTGTTTGTGCTTTTTTGAAAGTTCATAAGAATTGATTTTCAAAAATCGTAACCAGTATTCATTTTCACAGTTATTGAATAGAGTCAGCATTAGTAAGATGTAGTTCCTGGCAAATTCAGGACTCTGTCTGACAGCATTTGATGCATTCATTTCTTGCGGTTTATTTTTTCTGCAGAATATGCTAAATTCTACTAAACAAAAAAGGAAGGACTCATGGAGATGCTAAGAGAAGCTACTGAACAGCTGTGGCCCATGATAAGATACCTGGTTAAATTTTCAACCAATATGAAAGACACTAACCTAACAACAGGTTTTTCCTGCCTCCAGGCAAATACTGGGTTATTTTGTTGAAAGAAATCACATTTTCTCTCATCCCCCACAAGGTGTCCTCAATAATCCTGTCTCATCTAAATAAACTGTGCTGTTAATACTGCATTAGACTGCCTCTGTGGTCTAGTGGTCAGAGTTCGTGGTTACAGATCCAGAGGCCCCGGGTTCAATTCCCTGCGCTACCAGATTTTCTGAGAAGTAGTGGCTCTGGAACGGCCCACACGAACTCATGAGGATAATTGAGGAACTAGTTGAATGGAAAAGTAGCGTCTCTCATCTAGAAAACCGAAATTTAACAGCTATGGGGATTCGTTGCCCTGACCACATGACACCCTTATCCTCTAAAGTTGGCACTAATTTTGCCAGCAAGCGGCGGTCACTCAGTTGGTATAGTTCGCTTGCAGACTACAGGCCAAGAGGTTTTTTTTTGTTAATATTGCGTTATTAAATAATACTAAGAAACTTGGAGAGCATGCTGTTTCAGTAACTATGATGGTTTGTCTACGAAGGATTCTTGTAGTCATATCTAATATGCTCTAGTGCATCTTTATCGCAACCTGTGTGCTAGAAAGAACAGGTATTTCTGTGCTTTAAAATAGTTTCTCAATTGGACAGCCCTGTAGTCACTATATGCTCATGTCCCCTCTGTTCACAGTTAAAATCAAGCCCAGAAGCAGCATTGAATGTCACCATATGTAGAAAATGGATTTTCAATGTATACTTCCAGACTGTTTAGTTTCTCTGTTGTAACTGCTCGTAGAAATTACGTAGTATAAATAACATGAAGGAGATTGAATAAATACAAATTTTGTTGACATTGTGTCCTTTGGTAATTATTATTATTATTATTATTGTAATTCAGTCATCTACACTGTGCTGAGTCTGTAATTGGCCTTGCGGCTGTTGACTCGGCACATTAATAATAAAGAATTGAATTGAATTGAATTATTATATGTAAAGGGAATGTTTAATTACCATTGCTATAAAATGAGTGTTCGTGCTTACAGCTCTGGCTGTTCATAATGTTAGTAGCGCAATTAGATTCATTGCAGTACATAAGCTATTTCTGAATATGTTAAATATTTACACTTGCTAGGGGATTTAGGTGTTAGAATTTGTATACAGTAGTCATTTTGATCTTTCAGCTTCAGAAGAATATGTTCATTAATATATGCAGCATTCATGATTGATTTAAAGATCCAGATTGAACTAGTTCTGTAATTTGGAAAAGTGGAGTGTAAATATCACCATCTCTATAATATGTTAGGTGTTGGATGCAGGATATGCTTGAAGCTTGAAGAGTATGTATTGTATTGTAGATCTGGCTAATGGGTCCCTGAATGGAGGGCCACCCGGAGGGGCAGGCAGTCTGGTGTTGGGACGTGGTCCTTCACCAAGCCTGGAGATAAACACAGCCATATCACCACTGAATGGAGCGACGTTCCAGTCTCTGTCGGGCTCACCCTCACCCATACTCTCACAGTCAGGTAAGACACTGCATAGTTGCAGGACCCATGGTGTCTGGCTGTAAAGCATTGCAGCATGCACCAAGGAATAAGAGCAGTAAGCAGACAGCTGATGCGCTCCTACGAAGTTGTCAAAAGTTACACATCCGCTAAAACTGACAGTGTATCATCTACCTTTAGGTGGGTGGGTGTGGGCGTGTGTGCAAGAAGTCTTGTTGTGGCTTATTAAGTTTGCTCAATCCGTTTGTTATTCTGTACATATGAAAAACTTGAAAACACTGAATCTGCCCAGTGTTTTCAAGTTTTGTAGACATTTTAGAATTATACAAGGAATGGTTGAGCTCGTTCAGTTTCCATTTACTTTGGAAAATTTTAATGACCACTTTATGTGAAGGCCTACATGCATATCTTGAGTGTAACTTTGCTAAATATTTGTCAGAATATGCAGTACTTTGAATGAGTACTATAGAGAAAAATTTAAAATTTGTTTTATGTTTGGTACTCTTTTTTTTTGTCAAGTCTCTTTTTTTTTTTAATAAAACTGAAAAAATCAGACACTATGGGTACACTTAGCCGTTAGTCGCTGGCTTCTCACCGCAGCGGCCTGAGTTCGATCCCAGGTCTGGTCAAGTGGGGTTTGTGGTGGACAAAGTGGCGCTGGGGCGGGTTTCCCCCGTCAATCTTCATCCCACCAAATTCTCCATCATCATAATCAACTGGGGCAGGTACGATAGGCCAATCAGTGGCTGCCATACTGAGTGGACCCAGCTGGACTCCATCCTGCCACTAGCGAATTTAAAGAAAAATGGGTACACTTTCAGTTTCTTACATTCAGCCTACACCTGATCACCCAGTCACAGCCAAAACCTAGACTATCCATATGTTTTTGTTATTCATGCATCTTTTGCATGGGTAATTGGGAGTATACTGTAGTGTATAAATATATTGTTTTGAACTGCTTTTAGATGAATTACTAGCGGAGAGCCTGCATAACATCCCTGTAATTGTATCAGGAGGAGGAGGTGGGGGGGGACCTGCAGGAACTTTCCATCATCCTCGTGCTGCAGCAAGCAAGCTCACACCCATGCAGATTCGCTGCAAGTACGGCCAGTTGGGTCCGAGTAAGGGCCAGTTCAATTCACCTCATGGTTTTTGCCTTGGGATCGAGGAAGATATCATAGTTGCGGACACCAATAACCACCGCATTCAGGTAAAATTTTATGGTGTAATTACCCAGGTTCCTTGGTAGAAAAATGTAGGTCAGCTTGACAAATTAAGGATCCATAATAATGTGTGTACTGATTATGAAAAAAAGCGCTGTGATTTTTCTGAGTAGTACATTTTGTGTCATTGTGTTTGGCCCTTGTGATAAGTCCTCTGTTATATATTATGTAATTTGATTTGTTTTATTGCCACTTAATGAGGACACTAATTTCAGATTATTATGCCCAAGTTTTGACTTCAAGAGCAAGATCAGTGTCGAATTTGCAGTATGATTAAATGTTTTGTTCTAGGTATTTGAGAAGACAGGTACTTTCAAGTTCCAGTTTGGTGTGCCTGGCAAGGAAGAAGGTCAGTTATGGTATCCACGAAAAGTTGCAGTTATGCGGAACACTGGGAAGTACGTTGTTTGTGATCGTGGGAATGAACGTTCTCGCATGCAGATTTTTACCAAGAATGGCCATTTTATTAAGAAAATTGCCATCAGGTAGGTAGTAGAAATGTGGCACTGCCAGTTTCAGTTAAGTGAGAGGGCAGAATGCCACTTAATGCTTAAGACTGCTTAGTTTTGCAATAGAAGTGTTTTTATATTGTAATATTTCAGAGTATGTCCATTTCTTTTAAATTGTAACTGATTATAGGTATATAGACATAGTGGCTGGACTTGCAGTAACATCTCAAGGTCACATTGTTGCTGTCGACAGTGTGTCACCAACTGTATTTGTTATCTCTGAGTGTGGTGACCTACTACGCTGGTTTGACTGTAGCGATTACATGCGGGAACCTTCAGATATTGCGATAAGTGGTAAGGTTATTAATGTTATTTTCATATTTTAGTGGCTCTTAATCTTTACGCTGTTGAACCCATAATAATACAGGCATAGCTTGTCATTACATTCTTGCAGTGCCCCTATTCTTTATAAACACACATCATGCCAACATTCTAATGTATTCATACATGCTGGTCGCATACTTTCATCTATCATGAATGTAAGGAACTACAAAGCAGATCTCTTGCTTTAGAATTATTTTAAGTAGTCAGGATAAATTGGACAGCCTGTTTATGGAGGCATATCAGTGAATGGAAGGAAAGTTCTCAGGTGTTTCATTAGGTAAAGGGGAGCCATCAGCTTCATTCAGAGTCTCCACACTGCTTGCTTATGGAGAAAAGTGCTCTCCATCTGCCTTGGATAGAAGACTGTTGGTAGTGTTGATATCTCTAAAAGATTTGTTTAATATATAATCTTCCATTGATTTCACACCTGGATTTTAGAGAAAATTTGTAAGTGTAATTCAAAAGCTTTGTTACCAGAGTAAGAACCCAAAAAATATTAATGGTGCATACATTTAACTACATGATTATTCAGTATGAATTTGCCTCAAATTGCGAGTCAAAATTATGGAACATCTTATATAATTCTAAGTAAAATTGCTTTTCACAGGAAAGGAGTATTTTGTCTGTGACTTCAAAGGCCACTGTGTGGTTGTGTTCAACGAAGAAGGACAGTTCTTACGCCGCATTGGTTGTGACAGTATAACCAACTTCCCCAATGGGATTGACATATCAGATGCTGGGGATGTTTTGGTGGGCGACTCACACGGAAATCGATTTCATGTAGCAGTGTTTTCCAGAGATGGGTCTCTTCTGTCAGAGTTTGAGTGCCCCTATGTCAAGGTAAATGTAATAATAATAGTTTATGTTGAGAATATGTGGCAAATTAGAGGATATTGATATGTGTAATTTCAAATATTATACAGTTTTAATTCAGTCATTTTCAGTGTGTAAAGAGGGATGCTTTATACTCGTGGCCCTCCGAGTGTTCTGAGTTTAGGTGAAGGAGAATTTACAGGGGTCCCACATCTGCCTTGCTTGTTACCCAGTAATTCTGTGTGTCAGCATTGTAGCAGTGCATCTTATTCTGCCAGACATCTACTTCTGTATCCACTGAATGCTGACTGCAGTGCTCTTCTTTCTTCAGTATTTTTTCCTTTATTGGGAGGGCGGGGGACATTTTCCCTGTTGGTGGAACTTCCTACACAGTCTGTATATTTGGGTTTCAAGAATCAGGTCAACTCTGGACAACTGAAAAAGAAAAAAATTGTTCATTCAGAGAATGTGTCCATGATTGAGAAGATGTACCATCAACTTCCTAACAGTTGCTGATATTTTGCTTGTGTCTGCATAAACATACCAATTTGTCGGTTCCATGCCGCTTGCTGTATATATAAGGAAACACCAAACACAGCCTTTGCTAGATTCACGGAGTTAAAATGACTTATTGGCTTTATTTACTATTAGCTGTGTCAGATGTTTTAAAGTATGTCCACTATATCCAAATTAGATATGTCAATCTGTGAACCTTGAATGCCAGAAAATGTTTCCCATGCTGCAGATAGTGTGCCGATGCCTTGCGACACACATGTTATTGGCATCCTTTCCACACTGTGTTAATCATGTGTCACACTTCTTTGCTCATTGCCATCGTTTGCACTGTCACTCTCGCTAAAGGCACATATTCCAAAAGTCCCAAATTGGGTGTAATCATCATCAGAGTTACGATCTTCACTCAACCTACACTGTCATCATCCAAAACTTCATGTACAACTTCACTGATTTCAAACTCAATGAGTGCGTGTTCGGTTGAAGGTCCTGCCATGATGATGATGATGATGATGATGATGATGATTACTTTTCAGTCCTGAATTGTCAGCTGCACGATAACTAAGGTCATTGACACATAAACAAAGGGTTCATTTCTTTCATCATAGCTTGAAGCAAACCCCATATCAGCTAGAGGTTGTAAAAATTAAGCTTGCAGTAGAATGTATGATGTGCTTGAAACTTCAAATGTGGCATTTATGTACCTGACATGGTGTATATGAAACAATGCAGTAGGATTAATGTCATCGCAGATGGAGTGAGCAAATCACCACCCCTTTGGGTGGAGCCCACAGTGCTGATGGAAATGTGGCTGACCGAGCACAAAACTAGTCTGGACATGGTAGCAGAGAGTAAATAGGAATGGTACCTCAGTTATCTAGCCCATACCCAGTCACTGTATTGTACACTAAATTCTGGTAGCGTTACCCCAGAAGCTGATATGACCATTTTGCTGTTATTGGTAGTATGGAATTATAACATACTAAGGTGGGTAAACCTGTGGTAACATGTTGTTCATACCAGTGTCATCAAAATCCATTTATTGGCATGAAATTTATGCATGAACATGATGTCATAAGGTTATGTTATATGTTAGGAAATGAGGAATGTAGGCTAAAAGTAGACCATATCTCAGATTGCTTCTTGAAAGTTCGCACAAATAATTCACTCCTTTTTTTTTATTGCTAGTGGGGTTGGACTAAGTCCCTTGTATTGCAGCCACTTCTGGCCTATTGTACCAGCCTTAGATGATAGGTGAGGGTGATTGTGGAGCAGTTGGTGGAATTAAGATTGGCAGGAGAACCGAAGTACTCGGAGAAAACCTGCTCCAGCGCCACTTTGTCCACCACAAATCCCACCTGACCAGACTCGGGATTGAAACTGGGCCGCTGCGGTGGGAAGCCCGTGGCCTTTCACACTGCTTAGTCACAGAACACTTATGTACTTAAATGTACGTATTTCTTTTGTTTTCACAATAGGTATCCCGATGCTGCGGCCTAAAAATCACATCAGAAGGTTATGTGGTAACTTTAGCTAAGAACAATCATCATGTATTGGTCCTCAATACACTTTATATCATGTAAGTAAGGTCTGAAGAGAAGTTATGCTGCCAGCAGCGAATTGAGCAAGAAAGCTGCATGAATATATACTGTAGGATTAGACTTTCAGAATATTAGAGAAACTCTGTTGGGTCACAGGAGCATGATGTGGTTGGTGCTTCTTCATGTAGCCCCATCTCTCTCCATCTTAAGAACTCAGCCCAATGGTGTTTACCATAGTCTCCAACTTAGTTGATCTCGCAACCATAAACTCTGCATAATTTATGCTAATATTTTAATTTTCAGTAGTCAGAAAGTCATGTTAAGTACTGCAGTAAGATTTTTAAATATGAGTGCTGTAGTGGAGACAAAATATTTGTTTTCAGATTATTTTGCGAGGGAAAGATGTTTAGTTTAGGCAGAGTTTGTTTTATTTTAAAGGTGTGATGTAAAAAAATGCATTTAGCAAATTTATCCAAATAACGAAAGTACTATAGGTAAATATATTATACATATACACTAATTATTTTTTATTTGTTAAAAAACTAAATTATTATTATTATCATTAGTAGTAGTAGTAGTAGTAGTAGTAGTAATAGTAATAGCAGCAGCAGCAGTCATATGGTTCCTAATGTAACAGTTCATGCTTAAAAGGAGAGTTTCTTTTCATGCATATGTGTGTGAATGGTTAAAATGGCTGTGTGCTTGAGTTCTTGGATGTTCAGTTTTAAAGTAACTGTAATGATTACAATACTTACTCAGGTTGGTTTATTATTATTCATCATATTTGCTATAACTAAGAATGTGATTGCAAATTTTATTTGCTCTGAAAATGAGAAAATATGTTTTTCATCTTGATATTTTTGTGCAACTTGATGAGGTTGCAAAGGGTAGCACGCAAACAACTGTGTATCTTATATCGGAATGTATGTATTTTACTGTGCCATGATTTCTCTAACTATTAATTAAACATTTGTTTGCGCGTTAATCTATCTTTGTACCCTCCCAAATATATGAATGAATAATCTCATGTATGAAAGTGGCAATGGCTTTTCAGCCATCGATAACTATAGACATTTTATTGTAGGGTGTTCAGACTTCCAGAAACTATTGCACATGTTTTGTCTGTCAGTCTACCTGAGGAAAGGACTTGTGAATGTCTCCTTTATGGAAACAAAACTACATTTCCTGGGATTTGTGATGATTGTGAATTCCCCCTTATTGTATAATTGGATTGCTGTGCTCTACTGTCTGCACAAAGACATTTTCATCGAGTTTTGAGCTTCTTTGTCACTCATTTTAAGTGCCTGTATGGTTAGTGAAACTTGTCAATCACATGGCCAAACCCAGGTTTCATTTCCAGTCACCAAAGAACCGAAAACTTAACAACACAAGAAGTTTCGAGAATTTTTTGGAAGAATTTCGCTAACACAAAAGAGACATTCTTTCTGTGTATACCTGACTGTTGAGTTTTCAACTAAGTAATAAACCTCGTAACTGTCATGGGTTTTATTCTAATCAGTATTGCTTATAATGAAAGGTCCCATGTAGTGAAGGACTCATTGGAAGTGTTTAAAGAACTTACACTCCTTAGAGAATTTATCATCCATGACAGCCATGGTTCCAAATCCCAAATAGAACATTCGCGCTTTGGGATCATTTTGACGGTTAGAGTAGATGACCTCTTCTTCATCTCGTTACAAATGGAGTGAACTGTAATTGGTACTTCATTATGTCTTATCTAGTACTGTGAAAAAATACAGATGTTATTTCTCTGTTACTTCTTGGTCAACTTGTAAAAATAAAAGAAAGAAAACCTTTCGATAAAAACATGCCTGTGATAATAGTATCTTCAGGATCAGTTGTGACCTTAGTATCTTGTTATTTTATTGTGCGCTGCCTATATTTACTAGCGGCAAAATGTTAGAAAGTAATTTTCACAATAACAAACATAATGTTTCTATAAAAATTATATAAAACAATCGCCAAAAATATCTTATGCTTAAATATATCTTTAGGGCAGAAGATTATGTGTACACTGTGACTGCTACTCTGCTTTGAGGTTGGGGGGGCTACTTAAAATTGTGTATGGCATTAGGATGATGTCTTTTGAACTTAGAATTTTGGGAGAAAGGGTATTTTTTTCCCCCCAATGAAGTTTCTGGTACTATGACTTTTAGTTTGAATGATACTCGAGTATTAATAAGTCATAGTGTATATGTCAGTTTATATTTTTGTTAATTGCCTTAAGAGATGCAACAAAATTTAACACACACACACATACATTCTCTCTTATTATATACATATATAAACCTGCTCAGATTCAAAACTTACACATGTTTTGAGTATATAAATATATTTACACAACTTTTTGACCTTAAAAGTTAGGCATCTCCCCTACCATGAATTTGTATAAAAAACCTAAACTATTTAGTGGCTTAGGAGGGATGCCTAACCTCAGTTTTAACCCCCTATGATTTACCTCAATAGATGATAAAAACTACAAAAATATTATATATTTGTGGTAAATGTGATAGAATTTTTGATGATTTTTACAAATCACACAAGTCTCTTTCAATGTGTACAAAAATACAGTTGTTTTTTAGATAGCTACTCTGTAAGGAAACAGTCATTTTTTTCACCCTATGCATTACACAAACTTAACTTGCAAAGAGATCTAAAGGATACAATAATTAAATGTTGATAATTTGAGAAATATTGAATTTGGATGATATAGTGCATATGGAGTAAGTATGAACACACAACTTTTTATTATTCCCACCAAAATTCACTAGCAATAAGTGTTGTTAGTTTTGTCAGTATTGAAGAAAACATTTAAAAGTCTCTATTTATATGAAATCTTGTCTTGTATCATTCCATCCATAGTGGAACTGGATGCAATTTGAAATGCAAAGTCAGGGAAATGAGTTTCCCATTAGAGTTGTGACTGAGAATGGAGACTCTCTCCCTGACAAGAGAGACATTTTGTTATCCATTGTCTCTAGTTCCAGAATCATCACTTTATACAGTGAAGAGCACAAAGGCCATTTTCCAGAGGTATTTGTAAGGTGATATTTAAGCCACGAATTTTGAAAAAGCATGTCAAGATGCAGAAGGGAGCATACCTCTGCCCTATGCGCTTTTCTTGGTCTTGGCCATTTGCAACTGTATCCGTCTTCCCACTTTCCTCTTTCCAACTAAAAGGGGGAAATGGGAGATTTGGAATAACACTCATACACATGAAATTTATATAGTGTAATCGATGAAGTATTTAAAGCTTCTGCAAGTAATCACAAGCATTTAATAATAACATTAAATAATAATGGAATTTGTAGAATGACAGGTATAAAAATTATGTCTTATTTAACACAGTTAATAGAAATGTAACGGGGACATCTGCAAATGGCCGTTAGTCTCTTCCCTTAATTTAGTACGCTTAAAAACACACATACACAAACACAAGGTGGAATTCTTACTGCCTTGAAGTTCCACATTGCCAGTTGCTATTGCATAAGGTGTGTGGAAATAGATGAGCAAAGCAAATACAAGGTGCAGGAATTGCACTCCTTGATAACATGGAAAAGCTACAAGGTTTTTAGCATTGTGGTTGTTAAGTACAACCAGATGATTTGTCTTCCTAGTTGCTGAGAAAAATATGTAGCTTATTCATTTGTTATTAATCACTTAATGTGGCAATGTCGAGGTTTTTATCTCAATCAAGCCTGTCCTTTTTTTTTACTGTAGAATAGAGTTTAAAATATTTTTGTTTCCTTGATTTTGTAGATAACCAGCAAATTGAAAAATATTATTTTCAATTTGCAGTTTTCAGTGTTTTGTCTGTATTATTGTTTTTTTAAGAATGCTTTTATTATTCAACTTGTTCATATACATGATATTTAATATGTTGTCATGTATTGTGTTCTTTAAACAAAATGGCTGTTCAAAACAAAACCTGGGGAAAAAGGAAACCGGCAAATATCTTAGCACTGTTATTGTAAGATTTATTGAATTTAAATACACATATTTGAAAATGTTGTTGCCAAAATGATGTTTGTGATGTGCAAGTAACTCATACTGTTGTAAGATATTCTCATGTTGACTGTGTTGACTTTATGGTGCGAGATTGTGAGTTTAGTGGTTTCTTTGTTCCCTCTGGAATGTATTCCGACACGTGAGTGGTATCCAGCTTTTCTGCTGCTTCACTGAAAGGAATATATTAAAAACCCTATAAAAATTTAAAGGTGTACTTTGTGGGATTGATCTATTATTTTTGTTGTTCAATAATAATTCTTTACAATTGCTTAGAAATTAAAAACTCGTTGTAATAAGTAGTTGATAAGATAAGGACGCTCTTCATATTGCAAGTGGTGATAAACTCATTTTTGCTGTTCACACTTGTAATAGTGAGCTCTTCAGCATTCCTGCCAACTGAAATGTAACAGCAGCAGATTGTGTAACATAACTCCAATCAGATAGGTGTGGCATGAGGAACCTTCATATTCTTGAGTTCACTTAAAAATAGGCATTTTTAACAGCAGGTGAAAAAATGAATGCTTTATTGGAGGGATGGCTGCATGCTGTTCATGTGGATGAAATTTGTTTGGAAGAAACAGCTGATTTATGTAATGAAGTCAAGTTCCTGTTTTCCGTGTTAGGAGTGCTTTGTAATCGTGATATACCAATCCTTGTTTTCACTGTGCCATAATGGTGGTGGGACAGCATTTCAGTTGGCAGCATGAACAATCAGTACTAGACCACAGAAACTTTGAAGAAATGGTTGTGAGATATTTTCTTCCTCTTTTCTTCCCCTTCTTTTGTTTCCCCACTTTGGAGAGTTCTGTCATTTCAGTGCAGATGTGCAATAATCCCTTGACAGAATAGTTTAGATTTATTATATAAAACATAAAAATATATGAAAAAACATTGCTTCATAACAAAATAATTTTCCTTTTGTTATATATTCTTATGTATACATATTACCAAAAATGTTTATTTAAATGTAGGTATTGCATTCCAAGCCTTGTGAATTATTACTGTACTCAGCATGTTTTTATTTTTGAGTGTGTGAGGTTGCACTTAAGGTGACAGTTTTGAGGGGTTGTTCCTTCAACAGTAAGGTGTAATATGTTGGTGCCCTGTCAAGGTGTGGCAGAAACTGTTGTGTGATGTTTTAGTGGGGTCCTAAATGTTGGTTATTATTGACTGAACTTGTACAGTAGCTGTTAATTTTTTATGTTCATTAGAAGAAATTATCTTTTTTTTTTTCTTTTTAGTCAGCTCAAGTACAAATTTTTAAATGTAAACCATAGAACACATTTACTGGTTATTGTAGTTAGTTCGGAGTTTTTATAGTTCATCTCATTCTCTAAATATTTTACTGTTATTTCCTTTTATTTAATATTCATTTGTTTGAGCCCTCCAGAAATTTATAACGAGCCTTATCGTAAATCTGAACAATATGCTAGATCCATTACATATGTATTACAAATTTGTGATTTTATATTTGGGCCTAGAAGTCAGTAACATCAGTGCATACTACATTTTCTTTAGGTTACAATATGGAAAACTTCTGTAAATCTCTTATGAACTCTGCCCATAGACTGCAGTGCCTTTTAAGATGACAGAATCTGTGACTTGGCACTCTCCATGATCAGTGGGCACATGTGTTTGTTTTATTTCCATTTTGTGACACCTTTAGCATGTTCTTCCATTTGGATGAAGTCAAATTATCAACATATCACTTTCATCAATTACCGTATGTGCATGTAAAGGTTTATTGTTTTATGCTTGTTTGAAATTTTACAGAGCTGCAGCAATATAATGAAAATCAGAAAAGAGGCCTCTTGAAACATTTTTGCCAATAGATGCACCAAATTATTTAAAAGATATGTTATTTTCACTCATAGTCATTACCTTAAAATGTTAAGTATGTTTTTGTGTGTTATAATCTTTGTAATATTGATTGAATTACAAGTACATACCTTTTACATAAGATATTGAATAAATACAATTATTTCCAGGGTTTGTATAAATGCTATGGAAACAGACTTTTGTCATTTAGTGTATCTGTTGAAACAGTAGCCCTTAGTTTATGTTCTGCTGATTAAATGGGTGCCACTTTTATCTTCATAAATTTCAGCTGTCTTAGTGGCAAATATTTTTAACCTGTGCCCAGAACTGATGCCTAGCGAGTAGCCATAATGACCAATTATTTTTCCATTTTCTTTTAATTAAAGAAGAGGGTGTGAGCTCAGAGGATAACATTACTCCAATTTTGCATAGTCATTTAGTATGTGTTTTCAAACTAAACTGATTTAAAACTTCCAAGGGAAATTTCCCAGAGCTAGTCCTTTATTATTTGATAAAATATTTACTGATAAGTTTTTGTTTAGGAAACAAATGTATCATCAGTTCTTCTTTCTTTTTTAATTTGAACTCACAAGTTATGTACTTTTCCCTGTTCATGAATATACTTTTCTTTTACAAATAGTACATGATACACCCATACAGATAATATAATGTTATATAAAACACTGATAATATTGCTATAATAAATAATTTTGAAATTATAGTATTCAGAGTTGTCTTACATGAAAGTGGTAAATGTAAAATTGTACAGCAGAATATTACATAAAGTATGTTAAAATTTAATTTTAGAATTGATATTAATAGGGCTTGTGCTAAAACGAAAGTTGCCATGGATGTACTGCTCCTAAGCAAGGTTTCAATTTGTTTGTGTAAAACTGATTAGAGAGTTTGGCCCCAGACGTGATTTTATTCGTTATTCAGGGTTCCTGTTAAAAATGTTCAGCATTCATTCTTGCTATTTTTGGAAACTGTTAAGTATCTTTAAATTTACCTAAGAATGCTTAATTTGTATGATCTTTGTTTTATGAAATAAATAGTCACCTAAAGTTTGCATCTTATTTATTACATGAGATGTCCATCCATACCATTAAAATATACCATGCACTTACATACATATTGATGTTGACTGTCTTGCCAGTTCAATCTTTTAAGCAAATTCTTATAAGAGAATGCAGGTTGGCAGAGCGTTCAAAATGTATACAGATCCTGTTTATATGTACACAATATGGCAAGGCTCAGATGTTTGGAAATGTCAGTAATGTGTCAAAGTAACATGTATGAAGAAGTGAAATTACATTTGGGAAATATTGTGATGCGACCCCTGAAAGCCACGATCTCCCCATCTGAGTGGAGTTTCGCGTAGCAATTTCCTAGGTAATGGATACTGAACCACTTCAGTTCCCGTAGCAACCAATACACTGGAGACTCTTTCATCAAAAATGTGAAAGAAGCTGTCAGTTCAGAAGTGCAGAAATGAAGACACAATATGACACCACACGGAAGAAGAAGAGAATATGAGAGAATTCCAGGAGATCGGAATTGTAAGATACAGACAAAAATGGGGGATTTGGTATCCAGAAGGAGTTGAATGCGTGGATTATTATAACCAAGTGTAATTGTGTGGCATCAAATAAACCTAATCATCAAATCCAGAATCCACAATTATTAGTCATGCATTCTCCCCCCCGCTACATGTGACACTATTGATACTTGCTTTGAGTCAACTATTAGATTATCTATTACAGTACAAAAATGGGATCAGGAAAATAAAATATTTTTATATTGATAAGATATGATAACACAACTCTTGACCGCATTTATCAAGAGTCATGGTGTTTGTTTGTGCAAGGAAGAAGAAATGACATGATGAAGTGGAACTATCACATGAACCAAAGGTATTCTTGAAAGACAGCTACATAGCAGTAACACTCTACACTTGTATTTGGGTGGTGCTTGGCTTGTATCCCAGCCAAGATGCCAGCTATGCTGAATTAGGATTTTCCTGGTTCTTTTCATTCCATACAGTCAAATGCTGGGGCAATTCCATGATAATGTCATGATGGCTTCCTTCAAAATCCTTTCTGATTCAGTGTTTGACTGTCATCCTGTCATTTGACGCTATGTAATCTGAGATACTGACAGCCTCATAAAATTGAACAAGTGGAACTAAAAGAGTTACGTGGCTTTCACGGAAAAAGAGATGTTCCATGAAAAAAGTTCCAGAATACTTTAAATACTTCCAACTCTATGCAAAAACAATGGAAATTATAAGTTAATGAACTGCATGTATTTTTCGCCTACCTTGGTGCATAATTTGAAATAGTACAGCTTCATACTATCGTTCAGTTGGCAATATCACTTCAAGGTTCTGCACTTTCATCTTGTTTACAAACTTTAAGGTGGAAAAATTACATCATATATAATTTTTAGATAATTTTTAAACATACCAGCGTTCAGTACTTTATTGATTACTACTGTCTCTGTAAATCTTTATATTTATTTGGAGTAGTTTCATATCCTTAATTTATATTGTACAGCAGAAAAAAAGCAGTCTAATAAAAGCTGCACATTCTTTGAAGATCCATCAAATTTTCTGGACCCTTCATTTGTCTTGTTGCCAATACATATATATAGCTGCCATGTTCCTGCTGTTAATAGTAGGAATTTAAAAAGTACCATGGTTCTGTGACTGGTAATGACATAATGTTGCTATTAAAATTCATAAACCCTGTGTGTCGGTTCTTCTGCTTTGTAGATATTTTATGATAGATCAGTTTCTGTATTGTCAAATGATAGGATAATTGGCAAATAGTGACTTGGATAGGGCATGGAAGGAAGCAGTCATGATTAAATGAGGAACTCCCTCTCATTTCCCATGGAGGACTGAGGAAAACCATAATAAGTGAGGGAGGATAGCTCATGCCAGGCCCTAGATTCTAGCTGAGCACCTTCCAGATATGAGTCTAGAGCATTAACACTACTTCTTCCAAGAAGATACAGAAAGTGATTACAAGGAATAGCTAAAATATTACCTTTTACTTCTCTGTCTCAGTTTTGCAAAGGAGAAATCTGAATTACTATATTTGCTCAAATATAAGTCGCACTTTTCCTCCAAGATTGAGGATTTTGAAACTCAAAATTTGGCTTATAAGGGGATCTTAAAGAATAAAAAGACATTATTGGATTGTCAAAAATGCAGTAATAGTACAACTCTCATCAATTCTGGCAGGATGATGACAAGAAGGTGTTGAACACTTCAGTGACAGTAAGACATGCATATGTTGAGTGCAATTTACACCTAACTTTTTATAATGATGGAAGTCACAAATGTTAAAAGTAAAAGATAATGAACATACATAGAATATTCTTTTCACTAAACAGGTTGCTCTTGAAGTAATGTTGTACTCTTATATTCCTTAAGTTCTCAGTTTGAATCTCAGCCAAGACGCCGGTTATCCTGACTGAGGTTTTTCATTGTTTTCCTCAGTCCCTCTAGCAAATGATGGGATAGTTCCTTGAATGTGACATGAATGCTTCTTTTTCCATGTGCTCTAATTCATCAATAATCCCATCATCAAAAGCAATATAATCTATATACTAACAGCACTGTTAAATAATGTACAACAAAAGTATATTTTTAAGACCATAAAATTCTGAGGGTGAAGCTTACAGTAAGCAAACATAGTACACAATGGCATGCACTTCCTTTATCATTGCACCTCAATACCTGGGATTTCTCACATTTTCAAACTCCTTGTTTTTTATCAAATATTATTTTGTGGTTTTGGCTATTTCTCACCCTACATATTACATAGCAAATTTAATGGCTATTATAACTGATACTTCAAGGTCAGGCTTTTCACCTACTTCTAAGAAAGCAGTCATTCAAGTTTGATGAAATTCAAACTAGCAGAGTGCGCTGTTCCTGAATGCACTCAGCTTAAGTTCAGTAAAATTTCTAAGTAATGGCTCATGGTAACCAACTAACTAACTAATTCCATAGAACAGAGTCCTTCTTGAGAAGCTGACAGTTACTCGCCCAGGCAAGAACTTCTCAGCATTTTATAGGACCCAAAGGTTCATTATTATGTCCACAAGGGCCCACCACTGGTCCCTATTCTGAGCCAGATGAATCCAGTTCACACCCCCATCCTATTTCTCTAAGATTCATTTTAAATTTGTTCTCCCATCTATGTCTGCATCTTTAGTAGTTTCTTTGCTTAAGGTTTCACTACCAAATCCCTCCATGCAATTCTGTCCTATGTGTGCATATCTCATCCCCCCTGAGTTGATCATCCTAATAATATTTGTTGTGTAGTACAAGTTACAAAGCTCCTCATTATGTGATTTTCTTCAACCTCTTGCTATTTCCTCCCTCTTTGGTCCAAATATTCTTCTCAGCACCATACTCCCTAACACCCTTAATATAAGGGACAAAGTTTCATGCCCATATAACAAAATGTAGGCAAAATTACAGTTCTGTATCATCTGATATTTATGCTTTTATATAACAGGGGAGAAGACAAAATATTCTGAACTGAATGGAAGCCAGTACTCCCAGAATTTTATCTGCCTTTAATTTCCTAATGGGTAAAATTTTGGCACAGCATAACAGAAATATACAGTGTGCAGACAAAATATTTATCTCAATATCTGTATACTTTTCAATGGAATTTGTATTTAATGAGAGATTTGTTAAAAGTCTATTTATACCATAAAGTAAAATTCCAGTTCCAACTGTATCTTGAACACAAAATTTATATTTTATCAGAAAGTTCTACAGAAAATTTGTCAATAGAGTCTAATGAAAAAATCTGGGTCTTGCAATACGAGGCAGAAAAATAGTTATATTCGGTTTATATATTGTTATTTAGACTTTTGCTTGACATGAAGAATGTCTACACATGAAATTCAAATTTCCATCGTGTTTACAGAAGTTGTTGATGTTGAATTTGCTATTGAATCTTTGCACTGTATGGAAGTGGGCAACATTCCCAACATTTCGAACGTACATACTGTCTTCACTTGATCATGTATCTTCAAAATGTCAGCAACACTACCCACATCAACATGTTGCAAAGACCTCAAGAATACAGTCAATATCAACAGTTAACTACCGTGAAAGCCTAAGATCATTCATTTGTAAAACTGCTTTTCCTTACAGAAAGATATTCATCCTGAAGACACCTGAGTGCATGTTGCACATGGAGAGGGTATCATGATTTTTTAGTTTCCTTTCTTCTCTTTGTCCTTATTTCAGTTATTCCTTTCTTTCAGTTGATGTTGTATGAATTTGTTGGTTTATGTGTTGCTTATGGCAGGTTATATTATCTATTATAAGAAATGGTAGTATGCTTATGAAGACTGAATTAAGATGTATCTGGATGCAAGCAGTTATGACCAATACATGTTTTAAATACTATCTTTGAATTTGCTTAGTAGGACTGGATGAAGCTTTAGAAAGCCCAGAAGGGATGAATTTCAATCATGTAAATATTAAATGAGAGTCAAGAATTCTTAACTTTAACTGTTCTTCACATTATGTAACCTATTATCAACATGTGAATTCTTATGATGATGTTTATATTGATTCATACATAAAAATCTGAGTTTTATCAGTAAAATACTTGTTAATGATAACATCATTTAGTTTACTTAAATATAATTGTCCTGATTATGATAAGCCAGCCTCTTGACCTGCTTACTTGAGACACAATAGCTTATTTGGACAAGAGAAGACACCATAAAATAACAGCTATAAATAAACAGACCCCACTTATTCTAGTTTAGTTTTGATCTTCTCATTAAGCCTTGTTGATACGTGGTATGTACCGACTCTAAAACTCATTGTTTGGAAGGAAATAAACTTGGGTAAATATATGTATACTAAGGAACTGTGATATGGCCAATGTAAAAGGCACTGGATCCTTATTTCATTGCAAAATAACTTCTTACTATTGTTAGGATAACTGTAAGGGAGATAGATTTATTTGTAACTGAAGAAATGGGATAAGCACAAAGAATATTGAAGTAAGAAAAATCTGTTGGAAAGTGATTTCAAGATGACTAAGGCAAAAGTGGAAACATAGTAAAACTGATAATAAGGAAAGAGATTTTGATAAAGAGGAATGAATTTAAATGACTTAGATTCCAAATATAGGTGGAATTTTGTGCTAGGCTTTTAAACCTGCCAATTCTAATGCCAAAATTAAGTTCAAAATCAGGTGTAGATGCCCAATGCATATCTGAGACATATATGTTGGAAGAGGTCAGGAGGCCAGAAGTTATGGACTGTGCCCAGTAGTGAGCTATTATCAATATGGTAATGAACATTCAAGTTCTTTAAAAACAGAGAAATTATTCACCACGTGAGTAACACCTCATTTTGAAGGAATACCTTTCCCCATGTTGTTAGTTACGATACACTCATTCTTATCATTAAAATGCCCTCTATTTCTATGGGGAGATCTTGAATTGTATTTGAGATCAAGTGAAAATATTATGTTGTATACACGGTATATCAAAACTCAATGGCAAAACTTCAGGAACGGACTCCTCATACAGAGAGAAGAAAAAAAGTGTATGACAACATGGGTCCAGAAATGCATAATTACAGAGCTAGTAACGATAGTGCAATCCAACACTCCCAACACTGTTGCACTGTTACACTGAATACGTCTGTAACACCAGCTGGAACAATCTGGTCACATAACAGAGGAAATGTTCGAAGTGACCTCCTCCTGCCTGAATACAGGTCTCCGCTCATCGTCGCATTGAGTGCCACACACAATCAAAAATGCCCAGTGTAGTGCGTACTGTCTGACAGGCTGCCACAATGCACACATGGAGAGTAGGTACATCAGCAACAGCAGTCAAATACATGACAGACTTTAAGTGTCCCCACAGGTAAAAGTCCAGGGGGTTTTAGTCAGGAGAGCGTGGTGGCCAAGCAATTCGTTCATCTCTCCCTATCCAGTGCCCAGGATAATGTGCATTAAGTTGCCTGCTGGCAGACAGACTGAAATGTGCGGGAGCACCATCATGCATGAAGTACAGCTGTCAACGGGATGCTAATGGCATGTCTTCCAAGTAATCAGGCAATGTAGCACACAAGAAATCTGTGTAGTTCTGTCCATTAAGCTTGTCCGGAAGAACATAGGGTCCCAAAAAACAACCGGTGTCTCGCATTTTTATTCCAGCAAACAGGACGTGTCGGCATGCACTCTGTAAATTACACGCTGAGATAACTCTGTAATTATGCATTTCTGGTCCAATGTTGTCATACACTTTTTTTCTTCTCTCTATATGAGGAGTCTATTCCTGAAGTTTTGCCGTTGAGTTTTGATACACTCTGTATAAGATATATAAGCTTTTCTGAGCATGGTGGAACTGCATTTCTTTAAATTCATTCAATTTCTGTTGTATTTGAGGTTTTCACAGTGATTCATTCATTCATTTCATTCATTTATTTCATTTCCATAGATCTATACAGAAAACAAGTTCCATGAGATGTGGAAATAGTCAAGTTTGAATCTTAACATAGATACAATAAAAACATAGAAAACAAGTTATAGAAATAAATTCAAGAATACATAAATTAATATAATTACATTTCAAAATAACAATTAGTATATAGTAAGCAATCATATGTCCATGAAGAGTGCTGTCTTCTGGGATGTGACAATATAGCCTGGTAGTTCACCAGTATTTTTGGAGGAACATACTGGCTCCATCTCCAGGGTAAAAGAGTGAGTGGATTAAGCAATCAACAAGAAGTAAGCTGCAAGAATTTACTTCAGTGTGGCCTTCTGAGATGTTGGTGAACTTCTGCCAAACCAAATGGCATCATATCTCAGAAGACAGTATTCTTCATTCAAATCAGTCTCAAAGCTGCTTGTGGATCATAATATGAAGCACAGGTAATTATTCTGGTGTTTGTAAAGTGGCTATTGAAGTAGAAGATAGGCACCATCTTCTGTCAAGTCCAATAATGCTGAGTTCTGTATGCGCAGAAATACCAGGAAGATGTTGGTCATTTGTGTTTTTGCTGTGAGTATACTGACGATAGTAGCAGCTCTGGATAATGGGCTAGCCCTCACACCACCAATGGGCTGGCTTGCCTGGGAGAGATATCGCTGTATAGTTGACTGTGAAACATATCCGAATGACTGTGTCAGGTAACTTATTTATAGATTTTCATATGACTTGTACCAGATTTTATTTGAAACATTTCATTGAGTTTATTATAACAAAAGTAGCCTCCATTATTTGATAGTTTCATTACCAAGAGTCATCATATAATAAATTATATAATGATATAAACTCCGTCCCAAGTGCAAACAATATATTATGTGTCCTTAATCTTGCTCCTTTACACTACATGTTTCGGCCTCAGACGGCCATCATCAGGTGTATAACACTCACGTTGCTGTCACACTGCACCCAGCCCAAAATTTAACTTTTAAAAACACTTTCCTTGTTATTATCAACATCTACTTCGTTGATATCTGTCTGGTTTGTAGATTATTTTACACACGTTAATTTTGACTTTCCTGTAGTAGCACTATAAAATCTTTAGTTCTAATTTTAAAATCCTTTAAAATTTTTTATATCATTATATCATTTATCGTATAGAGTGCAACAGGATGCTTAAATATAATATTGTCATCATATAACTCAAAATTATGTAACTCAAAACTTTGTGATATTCTTTGGTTTCGCTGCCTTTAATTTTCATTAAAAAATTGAATAACTTGAATATAAGTCATTTTAGCCGTACTATTTTTAGGCATATAAGTACATTATTTTTTTTGCCTGCAATGAGGAATGAAGTAATTTCAAGTGAAATCACATTAATGTGAAACCCATGTAAGTCAAATTCATGTAAATTGTGGCATCTATATCTGATGAGGGCATTGAACAATCTGGCATGAGTGTGATAGGAGAAGATTACTAGTAGTTGAAATGTACCTCATGAGGTGGACTGCAGATTACATTATTCTGTGACCAAAACAGTAATGGAGAGATAATGATACAGTTATAGTATTCAAGCACTAGTGTTCTTTCACTGTCCAGAAATCAGTGTAATGAAGTAGTTGTGTGTGGAAACAGACTGTCATGGTACAGAATCCACTGATATGTCAGCTTTACAGTTCAAACATGAAGAGAAACAGATGGAAGGACGTAACTTCTTCACACAATAGTCTTCACTGTACTCTCTTAAGGCCTCAAAAAGAATATATTGTGACAAAAAAGAAAAAAGTAATAAAAGAAACTAAACTGAAAATGAGACAGCAAAACAAACCACTTCAAATTCAGCACAGCAGCATGATATTGACACTTCATACACGTAGATGTGGTTTGATTATTTTTATGGATTTGAATTTAGTGAGGGGGAAGATGATTATCTAAAGCACACATAGAAGAAATAGTTTATGGTTAAATAACTGTGAAGGTGAGTAAAGTATTGAACTAATATATATATGCAAATCATTGAAACCATCACATACAGCTGTATCAATGATTTTAATTACTTTAATTTATTACTATCACACAGTGACCTGTCAAATTTTACAGTAGTATCAAACTTACATAATCATAGAAGGAGCACATCCATGAAACCAGAGGAATAGTAACACGTTTCAACCCTAAATATAAAATATTAACTTCTAACAATTGGTTCAGTGAACAGCTCTTCCGTCGTACAGCTGATCTGTTGGTGTCAGAAGGCTATGCAGATGTTGGATATGAGTACATCATTATTGACGACTGCTGGCTGGCCCATGAACGAGGCAGTGATGGTCGGCTTCAGCCTGATCCCCAGCGCTTTCCAAGTGGCATCAAGGCTCTGGCTGACTATGTGAGTTAAACTGTAATAGCTTTTCCAGCACTTCAAGAATTAAAGAAAAGAAAGAATCTTGCTTATGGATAAAGAATGTTAAAATTGTTTCATAAAATCTCTTGAAAAATAAAATTTAATCTTTCGTGCTATTTAAAATAATTTTTTCAGATAATTTAAAGAAATAAGCATATTGCATTTCACTACAGACCTAAGAAATGACACGAGATAATTAGAACTAGAATTAGAATTTGATCATTTTCAATACATTCAAACAAGAAAAAATATGTAAACTGTGTTTATCATTACAGATTCATTCTCTAGGTTTGAAATTTGGCATCTATGAGGATTTTGGGAACTACACATGTGCAGGTTATCCTGGTGTGGTGGGCCACATGAAGACAGATGCACAGACATTCGCTGACTGGGAGGTTGACTATGTGAAACTGGATGGCTGCTATTCAGAACCTGAGGATATGGACACAGGTCTCTAAACAGTGCAACTCAAACATTCAAACTTTTCCACTGTTAGTATTACAGGGAAGTTCTTAATTTTGTTGACCAGTTCACAGCTCTGTCCTTCATGGTGACTGGTGCACTGCCAGCTGTGAGGTAAAAAGGTAAAATAGGTAAGGCTATCACTGTAACAGGCCATGAAGGCCCATAGGTTTGTGAGATGTCGAGGCTCTCACATTTTCTCCACACAATCGGCTCACAGAATGTGGTAAGCTTGTCAGCCTTATATGCAGGCTGCCCTTTAGCCCCCAGGAAGATTCCTGGTACTCATTTCTGTTAGAGGCTTAGTCAACCACAGGGCCATAGAGTGGCTGAAAGGATTAGGTCAATTAAAAAATAACTCAGTGACCTCAATGGGAATCGAATCCACAACCTTCTGGATTGTAGCATAATGCCTCAACCAACGAATCTCTGCCATGAATAATCAGCTATTCATAACAATTGCAGTTCATAGAGAAAGTCTTTATGTTATGAAATATTAGCACATACAGTATATTCTTAATTCATTCTGTGTTCTTGTTTTCCCTTCCATCATCTTTTGTAATCTATCTTCGTCTCTTTCCTTCCTCCTTGCTATTACCTCTTTGACTGCCCAGCCCTGACATAATAGAATTGCCTGCTAGAAATGATAAGGCTGCTTGGAAATAAGTGGAGTTACAAAGTAGAACCCAGATAACTTCCCTCAAATAACCTTCAACTGAAAGCAAAAATAGTTTAGCTGGAAGCTTGTTCTTTCCTCTAAACGTGAGTGCATAATTGGCAGAATTTCTGCACTAAATGAAACACAATGAGTCTATAATAATAATAATAATAATAATAATAATAATAATAATAATAATATCTTTATTGCTTCAAGAAAAACGTACAGGCGACACAATCACCACAGTTGTAGAAGCAGTCCCAAATAGTAAAATATACTATAATAAAACAGTTGCAATAATACAACTTAGTCAATGCTTAGTATAATAAATCAATAATAACTAAAATACGGACATTATAAGCAATTAATAATAAAAGTATACATACATTTATACAGAGTCTACAAAAACTACTACACATAAGTGTATCTAAATAAAACAAATATTCACCTGTATTCTATTTCCTTTCTTTTGACCACTCCAAGTATTCATTTATCGAATAAAATGATTGATTTAAGAGAAAATTATTTATAGCTAACTTAAATTTTTTATAATCACTCGATAATTTTCTTAAATTATGTGGCAGATTATTAAATATTTTAATACCCATACAACACACACTATTCTTATATTTGGCCAAATTTATCAATGGCACGTGTAAGCTGGTACTTTGTCGTGTATTTATGACATGTATTTCAGCATTTAGTGCAAACAAATGCATATTTTTCACCACCAGAAGCAAAAGCGAAAGTATATATTGAGAATAAAAAGGCAATATGTTTAAATATTTAAAAAATCCCCGGCAAGAGGCTCTAGAATTTACATTCATAATACTCCTTATAATTCTTTTTTGCACTATGAAGACATCCTTGCTATTAGTGGCATTTCCCCAAAAGGCAATTCCATATACAATTATAGAGTGAGCATAGGCAAAATATATCATTTTTAGATCATTAATAGATAGTAACGATTTCAGAGACCTAATGGCAAAGCAAGCAGAATTTAATTTCTTTATTGTTTTAGATATATGTCCTTGCCAAGATAAGGATGGATCCAAAGACACCCCCAGAAAGTCCATAACTTGTGTACTATTAATGTCAGAATGTAAATACTTTATAGGGGAGTTTACAATATGTTTCCTTATCGTTGTAAAATACATACAATATGTTTTATTAAAATTTAATGTCAAGGAATTTGCCTGAAACCATCTCATCAATTTCTCAACAACTAAATTAAAACATTCTTTAAGCTGATTAGGATCTGAAGTAGATACTATTAGACTAATGTCATCTGCAAATAGGATGGGTTTTGACATATTATTTACTGCTGCTGGCAAATCATTTATATATAATAAAAAAAATAATGGCCCAAGAATTGATCCCTGTGGTACTCCCAATCTGATCTGTTTCCACTCAGAAAAATATTGTATAGCTTGTTTATCCTTAATTACTACTCGTTGGTATCTATCACTTAAATATGAGGTAAGCAATTTATGAAATATACCTCTTATACCATAGAAATCCATTTTCTCAAGTAAAATATCATGGTTCACACTATCAAAGGCCTTTGTTAAGTCACAGAAAATACCACCGACCAGTTTTCTGTCATTAAGTGCCTGCATAATATTATTAAGTAAACTAAGAATAGCAGTATCCGTAGATAGATGTTTCCTAAATCCATGTTGCTCAGCAGGCAATATATTATTAAGTACTACATGAGCATACACTCTATTATATATAACCTTTTCAAATATTTTAGAAAAGGATGTAAGCACAGAAATTGGTCTATAATTAGATACTTCAGACGCATCACCTTTCTTGTGTACCGGATGTATTTGTGAGTATTTTAACCTTGAGGGAAATGTACCTGTGGCCAAGGACCTATTACATATGTAAATAAGAGGGGACATATCTATATCTATATCTTTGGCCATGGCAGTTATAATACAAAGAATCACATGCCAGTACAGTTGATACAAAACGTACAAAGGAGTTCTTCTCCTCCCCAAGATGTAATGTGAATTAAATGCTTTATCAATCAGTGCTACATTTTTCCCATCTTAAAACCCCACAGAACTGACACAATAATATTTTTGAAGATAAGGATTTAAAAGATGTTCATTGTGGTATCATTTCAAACAACAGCCCAATAAATGCGACAGGATTGAAATCCTGCACATATGGTTTAGGCCTGTGTTATACAGTATTTATATTGTTAGTATAATTACTGTTCTTGATAATGCAGAATACTTTAGTATGAAATTTCATTCAGGCTTCTTGCAAAAGCAAGAGATTTTCTCATCTCCACAGCATATGGACCATCTCTGGAGCCCATGCAGCCTCCTGTCTAATAGATACCAGGAGTAAAGCAGTGGGACATGAAGTTGACCACTCCCCTTCATCTAGTGAAGAGGTTAAGAATGTATGGATCTATACCTCCACTCCCCCATCCAACTCCACAGCCTGTAGCCTAATTAAGCATAGGTTTAACTTGTTACCTTCAGGTTAAAAAGTTATGTTTCTTACACAGGCTACCCTGAGTTTGGATCCTACCTCAATGAGACTGGACGTCCCATGATCTACTCTTGCAGTTGGCCAGTGTATCAGGAGTTTGCAGGCATTGAGGTATGTTTCTCTGGCAACATATGTATTTGATGTACATACCATCTACATGGCAGATGTGATCTGTGATACATCAATCCATATTTGTTTAGTGTCCAAGTAAACTGTATGAGATGAGAACAAAAGAACATTAAGTTCTCACTTAATAATTTTTTTTAAACTGCATTACTTCGTTCTTGCTACAGCCTAACTTCACGGCTCTGAAGCAGTACTGTAACTTGTGGCGCAACTACGTTGATATAGATGATTCATGGGAAGAAGTAGAAATCATCATGGACTATTTTGCAGAGAAACAGGACAGTATTGCTGAACATGCTGGACCTGGCCACTGGAATGACCCTGACATGGTATGTTAAATTACAGACTTGAAACTAACCTACTGCATCTCATCATGCAAGTTCCTTCATGTAAGCACAGAGAAACACATCCAAGTGACCCACCCATCATCGGATGCCTTTGTAGCAAATTCAGTAGTCTGCTGGTAGAACCTATTGATCAAATTGTATCCCTTGAAAGCCTTCCGCAGAGGCCTGATGACATAAAAATTATCCTGAGGCATGTTATGTAAATTTAATTGTTCTCAGACAGGTTCTTTCTGAAAGGTGACCTGCAGTAAATACCCTAACAAGCCTTGATCTCTGGCAATCACCCTTGAGCATCATTATATTCAGCCCTTTGATAGATTTCTGCTGACCTACATTATTACTATTATAAATTTTCCAGTGTAGAAACCCCGTCAATATTTAACAGTCAAATGAAACTTACTGATAATTGTAGAAGTATTTGTACCACTAAAGATGATAACAGTTTGGTGGATAAAAGAGGCTATCAAGAACATATGATGAGTGTAAAGATGGGGGAGATTTTATTCTTTTGTCTTACATATTTGGTTTGCTTGTTTATAAATTTTATTTTTATTCATTTGTTTATGTTATTTCTTAGATGGAGCTTCTCTCTCCCTCAATCCCTGACATTATTCCATGATCATTGCATAAATCTAATTCACATCTGAAAAGAATGTTCCTGAATCAGCTTCCCTGACCGAGGTTAGTTGTGATTTCCATACTCTTTCATCTTACTTGTGCCTCTGCTTTATTCTACACTGAGTTTTTGTACAAAAATGTTCATATTAATTCGATAAATACAAAACTACTAGCTTTACCAGCATAACTTGTGTCATTTTAGCATATCTTGGAGGATATTAATCAAACATCAATGCATATTATTTATTCATTTATACATTTCACTGCAAACACAATTAATGACATCCCTGATCTCAGATAGAGTACTTGCTAAGACCAGTGAGTGAACTCTCAAGAGGGCAACACACAATAGCCTGTGGCTGAATACAGGCTTTGGAAGGTGTATTATGGTCAGTATTTGTATCAGTGACAGCAAGGCACAGTGTGTCATGAAATAGTTTCTAACTTTCCCGGAAATGCAAACAGCATTCTAACGCCAGGGATAATGATAAAGTTTTGTCTTTGAACAATAGAGACATCTGTCAGTGCGAATGTCATAACATATGTCTGTTGTACAACAATGTGTTCCATTATCGGTTTGAACAACAATAAAAATAACATAAAGCTAAAATTCAAATTTTCCCATTCAGTGGTGAATGTATGTAAGCTGAAGTTGGTTCCTTGATGTTGGTTACTTAAAGACTCTTTCAGTAACAGCATTACATAGCATTGTATCATTGGATGATTAATGAATAAGCAGCAGTCTGTGGAATGAGGATGTGGAGGGAAACCCAAAGTACTCAACAGAATATCTGCCCCAGTGCCACTCTTTGTCCACCACAAATCCCACCTTATTTGACACAAAGCTACTCTCAAAATGGTTACAAAATTGTGTATAGTAGATACTAGTGATTTTTACAGACTCGTTCAGACTGAATACAAAACAGCTGTCAATTCCACTCTTGTTGAACAGATTCTCGTTAAATTTGGTACTTTGAGTCATTACTGAACTGAGTGTTGGTCCAAACAAGACAACAAAGGCTACTGCTTTACAGCAAGCCCTTGAGTCATTTTTGTGAAAGTATTTGTAAATACTGAGTCAAACAAAAAGTTTAAGAAAAAAATTTGTAAGATAAATGATATGTCATTTACATTTTCTACATGAAGTTTGTTTCTAAGTATTGTACTGCAGCATTCTGTTGCACATCACTTATCACTCCTTATTCACCATCTAACATGCAAATTTGTATTAAAATCTTAAAATTCATGTCTTTTAATTAAAAACTATTTTTCACATCTCTGGTGCGCTACATATTTTGGCCAATTTGGTCATCATCATGTGCTTGTCTCTAAGATATTGATCATAACAATCTGAAGTGAATTTACACAGGATGGGCCTGTTTGTATACTTCACTTACCTTCTTTAATTATTACAGCTGTCACCACTTTTCCACAAGCTTCACAATATAAATTAGAAACAAACAAGAATGGTACAAGGCTCAGATCATAAACATCAAATGGTCTAATCTCTTTCATTACTCATATAGTCACTTTTTTCATAATTAATGGTCCTCTCTTTTCAGCTAATTATTGGGAACTATGGCCTGAGCTATGACCAGAGCAAAGTGCAGATGGCCATCTGGGCAATCCTGGCTGCTCCATTGCTGATGTCTACAGCACTCAGAGATGTTAAACCCGAATACAAAGACATCCTGCAAAATAAAGCCATCCTCGCCATCAACCAGGATGAACTTGGTATCCAAGGACGTCGTGTTAACAATGTAAACCAGTGAATATCCTAAGTTTCAAGCTTTTATGGCAACTAAAAATTATACAATATTCTTAGATGACCACCCGTACAATTCCCCCATGAAGATTTTATGAAATAATATTATATTCTCTTTCATGAACTATAGTACAGTAATTTCGCACTATCAGAAAAATTACTTTCCATTTCTCCTTCATGGTGTCCTACAACTTCATGCATGGTTTTCTGCCTTTAATGGTTTCATCATATATTGCATGTATATGATTTATAATTTGCTTTTAGGATTATGGTAATATTCATGGAAATTGTCGAAGATGGTTGTCATGAATGAATCCCTTGTCTGAATCCACACTTCAGCTCTCTTGTTGTGCAATAACGTGTTCAGGCTGCAGTCCCCCTGCTCATACCGGTTCCTCACTTGCGGATTTTTCTAGCCTAAAGATGTGGGTGATACGTTCCTCCAAAACGTTGATTCACACAAGATCTACATGGCGCCACATCCCAGAAGACGGCATTCTTCATAGTTACTGCCGTGAAAACCTCAAATTTAAAATTGCCTCTATTATTCATAACATCCACATAGACACTAAAACTCATATGACAATTTTAAGAGCCCAAATATTCATTATTATATCCAGTTATTATACAGTCATATTGAAGTTCTGGCAATTAATAAGCACATCTAACATGTAATGTTAGTTGTCAGGACAAACTGAAGAACATCAGTGCTGGATTTATCAAGAGGTTGACGGTTTTTCTTTCAGACAGGACTGATTGACATCTGGACTCGCCCCATCAGTCCTGAGTTTGATGGTGAATATTCATATGCTGTGGCATTTGTGAGCCGTCGGATAGATGGATATCCATATCTTAAATCCGTAACGCTGGCTGAAATAGGGCTTACCAGTGCATGTGGGTATGAGTTTCAGGTGAGGAAAAGTCTGGTGTAGTGTGTTAGCAAATCATGTGAGATGCTTTTCATATTCATGGTAATGTATAAACTTTTGCAGGATCTCTACAGTCCAAATACCCAGCCTCAAATTTTGGGTCCAGACTCAGTCCTAACTGTTCGAATAAATCCATCAGGTGAGTGGCACTTTTTTCGTTTGTTATTCCAGACCATATACGACCAATTTTTATAAGACTTCAGTAGTTTGTGGACTGCTTTATGACACTACTAGCATCCAGACTATATCACAGTGTGTCATATCTCAGAAGTGAACCGCTAGATGGTGTGCACATGAGTGCCAAGCTTGGAATGAGACAGAACAAAGGCTGATGCATGTGCATATAGGCAGTTTTCCATTATTCATAGTATCTAGTGGTTGTAGTAACAAATATGATTCAAGAATGTGGAAAAGTGTCATTTTTCTATTAGTATTTTAAAGGTAAGACACAACATATTGGATGGTAGGATGATTGATAAATTGGAAAGGATCTGAAAGGAAGCAATCATAGCCTAATTCAGGTATTATTCCAAGCAAGGTATTATTATTCCAAGGGACTGTGGAAAACCACTAAAGCCTCAGTGAGGATGCCTGGTGTTCCAGCTGGAATTTGAACTGAGCACCTCCAAAGCACAAGTCAATAGCATTACTACTCAACCAGCCTGCATTATTCAGATTAATTCATGATACATGGATAACCTTGAAGAAAAAGACAAAGTGTCCACCAGTTTGCTTTACAGCTCATCAAAGCTCAATTACAAGGTTATAGAGAATTATGTAATTGATTCTAAGAATTAAAAAATACTGAAATTTTAAGGCTGCAATGACAGAACTCCATACGTTTGAATACCACTCATAGTTGCATTAGGCTGTGTATGATATTCTAACACCAACATTTCATGCCATGTTTCATCAGATCTTTAGGTCACAATGTAACACTGTGCAAGTTTCCATGTTATTATAAACTATTTCTTTAATTGTTGTGCTGTTACAAGCTGCATATTCCCAAAGGTTTATAATTAGACAACATTTGAAGACCCCGCATTGAATTTCACTATAATGTGCCTAAAATGTCAGCATCATTGGGTACTGACACAAATCATCATAGTGTACAATCATTAGAAAGTTACTGATTCTATTTTCAACATATAAGGTGAACAATGATCACTATACCAGGGGACATATTGAACACAAAGAATTTTTCTTCATGAGGTTGCCTACATAAGGTATGATACTTTGACAAAGTTAAATGTTATCCCCATGTCACAAATGTTGACACTGTAGATGTCAGAGGTTTAGGAGTTACTAAAATGCCATGATATTCATATAAAAGTTCCAATAAATCTGTCAACTAATACCCCCAATATGGGCCAACAGACCCATATAGCTCACTGACACAGCTACAGAGCAGCATCTCTACTCCTGTGTAAGCACAGAAAGGTGTAATGGCAGTTCAAACAAGAGTAGTATTATAGAGATACACACACTGCATTCAATACATTCACTTTCTTTGTGGTGAAAACTCTCAATTCAAAGATGCATTATCTTCATGGTGAAGGTGGAATTAATACATACTTTGATTGCTGTTTCCAGGTGTCGTATTCTACAGAGCCACTATTGTTGGAGCAAGGTAACCTATACTTCTCAAGGACACTAAGCTAGAAGATTAACAAAAATTCATGTCTTAAGAATGAAAAGTGGGAAACTAAATGTTGTTCCAGTCTAAATACATTAAGAAATAATATCCTGCTCTTTATACTTGCATGACAACTTCCTCATTTGTTCTCTTGACCATTAAATAAATTTGGTAATACCTTCATATATTTAGGTATATTCAGTGCCATGGAAACTGTACCTGTGTGTGTTTTGTATGAGCTGGTTTATTTTCAAAGTTTATTGTTATAATTTCTCCAGTGTAAGAAGAATATCTATAAAACCTAGTCACATTAAGTTGCTTTGCCTTTAATAATAACAGGTAAGGTTGCTTGAGGTTAATTAATTTGGGTTTTGGGTGCAGGTTATGTTACATTTGGGTATGACAGATTATATGACATTGCATTTTGTTACGTTTAAGCCAAGTTATGTAAGTTTAACTTTATTCATTCTGGTCCGTCACACTAGTTGTTATAAAATGATTTGGCAAAACCATTCAGTGTGACTTAGTGTATATTTGTTTATATAGTGCCTTTATATGTTTTGGTCAGTTGTAAACAAATATACACTAAGTAGCACTGGAGGGTGTTACCAAATCATTTTATAATAACGTTATGTAAGTTTGAATCAGGTTATGAGATTTTAGGTTCTTGTAGCAGTGACATGAAAACTACTGTATCCTGCGATGTGACAATGTAGAAGTTTGGCAACATTTTGAAGGAATGTACTGCATCCATCTTCAGGGTCCAAGAGTAAGCCAGGCTAGCACAATAATTTCAGTAAATTACTCTATGCTAGATTTGTACAGTATGGAACATATTTGGTAGGTTGGACAGGTGACGATGTTTGGTGTTACTAAAGTTTGGTTAATTTCCCAGTCTCAAACAACAAAATCTCTTAATTCCAAAAGAACACAAGCCATGATTTCGGCAACAAGTAATTATCCGTACATACAGAATCACACATATTATATACAGTGGACTACAGAAATAGATGTTACGAATTAAAACGGCCAGTCAAAAAGTTCCTGGAATTCCCCTCCTGACAGAGAACGGGAGATATAATACCTCACACATTGTTCTTCTGGTGAGCTTAGTATGTCTGCTCGTAGGTGCAGCAGGTATGGGTAGGTTTTGGCATGCAGGTTCGTTACTGTTCCGTTTGACTTAGAAGTGTGTTGGTCATTGGGCGCAATGTCGCACTTCAAACAGCGTGCGAACATTACTATCATGTGCAAATTGGGTAAATCTGCTTCAGAGAGGCTATTTGCCCTGCAGCAAGTTTACGGTTATACTACACTAAAGAAATCCGCAGTTTACAACTGTTTTTCCCCATTTAAGAACGGACAGAAGACCTTACAATATAACCAGCCAAGCTGGAGGTCTTTGACCGCTCCAACATTCACAACGTTCACAACCAAATAAATGATTGAATAGTCGCGACAACTGATTCGATCTATCGAAAAATGGCCATTACGGTGTTTGAGCAAGAAATTGTTATCTCTCACGGATCGATTCATGCGATTCTGTCGATTCATTCCGACGATATGAAGATGAAACGTTTTAGCGCGAAGTTTGTTCCGAGGCAGCTGACCACGGATCAGATGGAATGTCACATTATGGTGGCTGCAGATATGTTTGAAAAAGTACGCAGGACCCGACGTTTCTCAAAAAGATCGTCACTGGTGGTGAGTCATTTATGTTCGCCTACGACCCGGAGACGAAGATGCAATCATGAGAGTGGCACACAGCGTCGTCTCCCCGACCAAAGAAATCCCGTCTCGTCAGATCCAAGGGAAAAGTGATTCTCGTTGCATTCAATGATATAAATGGTTTGGTGCACCATGAGTTCGTACCGCCTGGACAGAGTGTTCATTTCAACGTGCAAATTTTGCAGAGGTTGCGCGATGCAGTTCGGAGGAAGTTACGCGACAAGTGGTAGGGACAGTAGTTTCTGCATCACGATAAGGCACCTAACCACACATCGCTTGTTGTGCAGTAATTCCTCGCCGAGAAAAGCATTCCTGTAATCACCCAACCACTGTACCCTCCGAATCTCGCTCGGAGTGACTTTAGGCTGTTGCCTACTCTGAAAATGGGCCTCAAGGGTACACGTTTAGCAACCATGAAGCACATCAAGGCGAGTGCGGCGGCCGAACTCTGGAAGATTCCAAAAGAAGCTTTCTGCCGGTGCTTCCAACAATGGCAGGACCGATGGAGCAAGTGTTTGCGTGCGCAAGGGCGCTACTTTGAAGGTGATTTGGTAAGTGTTGCCAAATGTCCTACCATTACAGTGCAATACCACCATTCTGGGAACTGCCTGTCATAAGATACATATCTGTGTTGTGCACACAGAATGCAATACAAGACATTGTCTGTTGTCTGTCTTTTGTTGCTGCTGAGAGTGATTTGCAATTTCCAGCTGAATACTAACGTACCAGTTATTAGGAGCTTATTCAACATTATGGGCCGTTCAGTTAAACTAGTGTCTTATTCTGTGACTAACCAAGTGACTGGCCAGAAATGAAATTTCTAATATAAAAATTTAGTTATATGATAATGTGCTGTTTGCTCAGGGCTGTTATGTATCTCATTGGGTATTGGCAGATGAGTATGGAGCAATGGTATAATGTTTGGGGGGGGGACTGAAGAAACTTAGAGTAAATCCTGTTCCAATGCTGTGTTGTCCACCACAAATCTCACAGGTTCATCCAGGACTGAACCCAGACTTCTGCGGTGAGAAACCAGGGTGTAATCACTTGAGCAATGAGATGGTAGATTGCATTGTCTAAAATTTGCAATTTTATGCAAGCACAAGCAAACGTATTTATTCATGAAGTTAATTTGATTTATTTAAACTCTTTGTAGAGGACAACCTAAGTGCAAAACCAGGGCTAAAGTGCTGTTGTGTAACAACATATGTTTACAGGGTTTTGTATCCAAAAAATGGTTGGTAGCAAGTGAGGTATAAACATTTTCATTTAAATATTTTATTACAAAATTGACACATCGAATGTAACAATAATTTGTGAAAATGTTAAAAATGATGTTTTGAACAGTCATAACATATTATGAATAACAGCATTGATATTCCTATTGATCTTCTTAACAGGATGCTATTTGTGTACATACACACATGCATGGCGAAAGAGCTGCCAGTCTTTTCAACTTCCATTTTCAATCTTACAAATTTTATTAATCCTTAACTAGCTTTGTTTCACAGTAAAGTGAGATATTAATATATCTGTCCATAAGTGTTCAGTATCATGCTCATCTGATGCTTGGTTTTAAGCAATGTCTTCAATCTTGAATTGTGACATGCAATTTGCAACAATGGCATTGTGAACACACACACACACACACACACACTTGGTTTTGAATATTTTTTAAAACTTGTGAGATATCATATGGCTTTATTATATATCACTATATATTGGCGCACTTAGTAACATATTATTGCCATAGCTATTGAACTTCCAAAAGAAATCAATAACATTATTTTGTAAATATCAATATATTTGTTTCATTTGTCAAATGAGCTTTTATAATCATAATCATTTCCATTGCCTTTCTGATACATAATGTGTTGGCCTATATCAAGGAATATCTGGTAGAATTACTTGTTCATAGCCAGACAGTACTGTTGGAAGTATAGCATGTATTGAATCCAGTGAACACATTTGCACATTTTGTTAAGTTGTGTGATGTACTGTTTCCTTCTGCACTAGCGCTGAAAACATACAGATATCTTAGAGAAATTATTCCTAAAGTGTTTACTACTTTTATTTATAAAATAAATTGAGTTGGAAATTAGATTATTTCAAATTATGGGTTCAAGAATTAACAATGTTTGCTTCACAGAACTGAATATTATCAAATGGTAAAGTTGGCCCTGTGCTTACCTAAATAAGCATTATGCCATGAAGGCATATTGGGGACTGGATGTATTGATCCACGTTTTCTTGTCCTCAGTACTAGTTGGAAGTGAGTAACTGAATGGTATTCTTTTCATTAATATTTCACAATTTGCCACTAATATTCACTGGTTAAATACAAATCAGAAATGTGATACTTGTAAAATCCAATTTTGTATATTTTTCTGCCTGTACCATTGTTCCCTTAAAATGCTCCATTTTCAGTTCAGTTAATTTCCATGGAATAATCTAATATGAAAATAGTTTTTTTTTATTCTTCTTAGTGAATGTATTTATAGCCACAGAAATGTGGACTGAAGTGTCTGTTTCATCTGGCACAAGCTACTCAAGATCTCTGTGACAGCAAAGAAGGTGTAGGTGAGGTCACTCAGAGTAGAAAAAGCAAATAAATAGTTTTCTGAAGAGTTCTGTCTTCTAGAACATAACACCATGCAGCAAAGCTTGCTGCCTGCTTCATGCTGATTTCTGGCTTGACTCACTATTCACCTATGATTTTGAGGTGAAATGTTCCTCTGAAATTATCAGTGAACTGCACTCATAACTCATAACTCTTCATAACCATCTCTGTGATAACCTCAAGTTCTACAAGTATTTTTCAGGTTTATAACTGTCACCCTTCTGTTTACACTGTCTCTACATTGAAACTGATAATGATAGAGCATTTGGGGCAAAGTTCAATGACTTTCACCTACTGTTTATAACCGATGTAAAAGGTTAAGCAAATATTAACAAATCTTCCAATAGCTCAAGCAAATGGTTTTTTTTGGGGGGGGAGGTCACTTAATGATGCTTTCAGTAAGTAAGGATGAAGAACTGGGAGAGATTTGGAAGTAAACATTCTTGGCCCAATCAAGGAATTTCATCATCAGAATATTTTTAAAATCGAGGTAGTGTAACTCAGTTATGGTTAGAAACTGGAAATGAATTTTTTTTTTTTTTATATTTTCTGTGCCCAGAGACCTACCCCATGGCACCTATAAATTATGATGATACCTTTCAAAACTCTCTAAATAAACATAGCTGTTTGCCAAAGATCTCAGGATTATGGAGATGAGTGTTGCAGATCAGTGCTTTTCTTGCAAACTATATCACTGCCACTTCACGAATGTGGAATTTACTGGTTTCTAAAATATATGGTGCTTTTCTTGATTACTAACAGATTTCTAGTTTATTTTTGGGGGTTATGTGGAGCATGGACTTAGATATAGTAAAAGGTAAAGTTATCCCTGTAACAAACCATGAAGGCCCATAGGGTTGTGAAACGTTTAGGCACACAGATGACAGTGAAGCTATTAGCCTTACTCTCTGGCCACCCTTTACCCCCCCAGGAAGATTCCTGATACTCATTTCTGTTAGAGGGTGAGTCGACCCCAGGGCCATAGGCAGATGGAAGGATTAGGTTAATTGAAAAATCCAGTGGCCTCATCGGGAATTGAACTCATGACCTTCCAGCTTGTTGCATAGTGGCTCAGCCATGTTACCACATGCTTCCAGACTTTGAGATATAGTAAGCAAAGAAAATGAAGCTCATTTGTGTATCCATCTGTAAGTTCAAATCTCATATCCATTTATTATTCCTAATTCGTACTAATTTGCAAATTTTGAAAGCAGTGCACAATTCATGAAGACTAATACACAACTTAAATGTGGTAAGTTTGCTTCACCAGCTGTCAGCATTTGCTGACAGTTGTGCCTACAGGCTCACACCCCAGATAAACTCGACATTTGACAGCCTAATTTAAAAAAAGTTGTAAATAAATGAAGCATTTTATATAAAATGCAATTGCTTTGAAATGATTTATCTCAAATACAAAGTTAAATGAAAATTAACTTTACAGCAACTATCTGGTCATCAGCATTAAAATGGAATGAATGTTGGGCATGTTTCGTCCACAAATGGAAAACTTTGCTCTTACTTGACTACTGCTGTCACTCAACAAAGCTTGTTCTGAGTGTCCGTTTGACATAACAGCATTATAGAACCCAATGTTCTTCTCTTGCTTTCAGGCTGCACAGTGTAGAATGGCAAAAGTGTTTTGGCACTTGGTCAGTGGTCAGTGAAAATCTGTAATAAAAGCAATAATTTAGCAAAATTAGTTTCGGGGGTTCATAATATGGCTTATGCTATCAGCATGGAGGATGCACCTGAGGTCAGACTGGGCCAACAGGTGGCCCGTAACAACTTCTGAATGTCTCGATCAATCTTTAAGAAACTTGGTATGTATATCATGCCACCTGAGGCTATCTTAATGGCGTACTTCATAAATCCCATCAATAATACCAACATTACAGCATTTCAAATTTATTAAAGGAAAACTTTAATTTTGCTTGAATGCCTGTACCAGTTGCCGTGAAACTTGGTACGTAAGCCATTTGTCGACCGTGCTGCACGTTTTCGCGCTTTTAAATGTAAGGTCCAATGGCCAAACTGCACGAAATCATGTTTTTAAATGTCTCCATCACAGCTGTGCGTACAGTCCTAAATAATATTTATTTAAGTATAGTAAATTTCTATGTACGTATACATGTCATTTCTTGTTGTCAGCTACTATAATGTGTTGTGTTCACCTCTGCGCCATTCACCTATTTCTTGCCTTCGTGGGTTATCCGCTCAAAGCACCACAAAATCAAAGACAAAGGTCACAATTTCAAGGCCGCTATGGGGTCCATTACCTGATTCATTAGTTTCCAATGTATTGAAGGCGTTGTATGAAGGAAAGAAGCTGTTTGAAACTCCTGTTCACTAAGAACCCAGTATGCAGGAAATAATCCACACTTGGTACCAGGGTTGCAATGCTGCTATTTTGATGATAGTAATAGAAAAATATAGCCACAAAGCTAGTATTTTGCATATAATAATAAAAATACTTCATCTTAGAGCTTAACTGCTGTCAATAGAGTAGACTCTCACAAAGCTATGAACCTTGTGTTGTGAAGGCTGGTGTAAGCTGGCGTCTTGGCTGTTCCTGTGTTCGTTTTAAGATATGTAGCTGGAAGTCACATGACAGGAAAGAATGATTTTGTAATGCAGCGCCATTCTGTGAAGAAGTGAATACGAATGTTTACAGCAAGCATCAAAAAATTAATAGCAAAAAAAGAAAAGGAATGTAACTTTTTTTTCCTAATCACTTTCAAACTATGTGAAACCATGTTCTTTCTTCATAAAAACAAAGTTAATTTCATTCGTTTATTGTGCAAATTGTATTACTTACAGCATATTTGGTAAGATGGTTAGAATTACTTAAACGCGTCCCAGTAAAGGAGAACGTAAACCCCAGCCAGCTTTACTCTTAAGACCGTTTAAATACTCTGGCACTTACAGGATGTCATGCCACTTAAAGCCAACAAAAGGAGTACTTCATAAATCCCTCTCATCAGTAGGACCAATATTGCAGCCTCTCAGATTGTTGCTGTAATAACCTTAATAATACTTGAATATTCGAACCAATCCTCATGAAGCAGTGGAACTCGAAAGGTAGTATTTCTTGGTTGTTGTCGCTCATTTAACATTCAATTCAAATGTTCCCAAGTGATAATCTCAGGGCTTCCTTACCTGTATTTAAGATATTCCTCGGTTTAATGTTGAAATCCACTGATCCAAAAGGAAACCATAAAAGGGGGGCTCACTGTATTTAATGATTTTATCAAATTTTACTCAGTTCTTACATACAAACATTCTCCATAAATTATATATGCGCGAGTGGGCCATCCTTCATACGATTAAAATGAACCAATATTGAGTTATTTCTTTAATACATTCATGTGAAAAGAAAGTTCTAATAATAGCATTCACCACATACCGAAAAATGTAACTTTCATTTGATATATTAAAATTTTTTTATTGCTAGTGGGGTGGGACTAAGTCCCTTGTACTGTGGCCACTTCTGGCCTATTGTAGCAGTCCCAGATAATAGGTGAGGGTGATTGTGGGGCAATTGGTGGAATGAAGATTGGCAGGGGAAACCGAAGTACTCGGAGAAAACCTGCCCCAGCGCCACTTCGTCCACCACAAATCCCACTTGAGCAGACCCGGGATCGAACCCGGGGCCGCCGCGGTGGGAAGCCAACGACTAACAGCTTGAGCTATGGCACGGCCCTATATTAAAAGTTTCTGTTTTGTGGAAACGTATCCCTCGTTATACGCGATTAACGGGTTCCTTGAAATCATCGCGTAAAGCAAAATGGCGCAAAATTAATTCATTTTTATATGATTAAAATATGAATGCTTTCCAGAATAGAAAAATGCTATCGAAATTAAAAAAGATCATTAGAAGTGCTAATGTCACAATTAATGTATATAAATTAATAAGATAAGTCAGGAGATGCTGCTTAGTGTGGAGCACGATCAGGCTAGACCGGATCTTTGCAAAGCCAGTGAAGTGATAACTTTCACCTATCTTGAAGAACTGATAGAGAGAGAGCTGTCGTGTAGATTTCTGCCTCTCATTATGAAGTTCTTTGTCACAAGCAACACCACTCTCCATTGCTCTAGTAATTCTGACGCTTCTGTTCCTGTTGCCGTGATTATCATGTACGATGCTAATGGCAGTGTGAACGTGCTTAGAAATTGCTTTGCTGAAATGTGTTTAATGGGCTTAATATCAAAGAAGTCGTCATGTGGATCATTTAGCTCTATCTCCAGGTCCCGAAGATTGTCATTGCTGAGCTCCAATGCGTTTCTCAACGTTGGCCCCCATCTGCATCCTCAGATCCAGCAGTCCTGCCGAGGGCAACGGTGGCTCACTGGATTGCCAATCTCCAGCATCCTTTCCGATCTCTCCATAATCGGCGTCCAAGTTTCTGTGATCTTATTAGCCGTCATTCTCTTCGCAATTCTACAGCTCTCCGTAATTTCCTCTGCTTGTTTGCTTGTGGTTCTTAAAGTCGATTCGGTTATTCCCATGGTAGTGGCTATGTCAAACGTGATTTCATTACTTTCATACCCCTTAATCACGTGTAATGTTTTCCTTAAGGGTAATTACTATATCTAGTACTGTTTATTGTACTACACAGTCCGTCAACAATGCAACAAATTGTTCCTTCTTTCTTACACGTTCACTTTCGGCCCCAAATGGCAATCTTCATGTGTCTTACTATGCTAAAACTGCTACACTGCACTAATATCGTCGCATATGTCACGAATGGACAATATTAGTGCAGTGTAGCAGGTTTAGCATAGTAAGACACCTGAAGATGGCCATTAGGGCCGAAACATGTTGCGTCGAAAGTGAAAGTCTAAGAAAGAAGGAACAATTTATTGCATTGTTGACGGACTGTGTAGTACAATAAACAGTACTATATATAGTAACAACAGGATGCTTAAATACAGGATTAATAAATTTCCTTTGTTTTTGGCCACTGTTAGCACTTTTGTCACTGCTTCTCATGATGATCACTTTTAACCTTAAAGTTTGTGGGTCGCACAAAATTAAGAAGACGCTATGCTATGCAGTATACAACTACAGAGAGACAACTAACGGTGTCTGCCGCGCCATAGCTCAAGCGGTTAGTCGCTGGCTTCCCACCGCGTTGGCCCGGGTTCGATTCCGGGTCTGGTCAAGTGGAATTTGTGGTGGATAAAGTGGCGCTGGGGCAGGTTTTCTCCGAGTACTTCGGTTTCCCCTGCCAATCTTAATTCCACCAATTGCTCCACAATCACCTCCACCTATCATCTGGGGCTGGTACAATAGGCCAGAAGCGGCCGCAGGACAAGGGACTTAGTTCCACCCCACTAGCATAAAAAACGATGCCTAAGCGAGTATGCACACATGCATACATCGCAGTTACGAGATGGCGTGTAACGAGGGATACCTGCATGAACGATCTCTGCTATGAAAACAACTGTAATCCAGATTAAAGTAAATAATGGTTGAGTACCTCGCGGAGGCTGTCAGCCTCACCAGCCGTGGCGGTAGTGGATCTTAGGGTAATAGCGGATGTGTTTGTAGACTGGCACGGGAACAGCGTATGGCTTGGGAACAGGTACAGGAATATGTTTCTCTATATACACAGGGTGGGGCTTCTCTACGGGATAAGGTACAGGTTTCTCCACAGGAACAGGGATAGCGACAGGCTTTTCCACAGGGACAGCCACTGTCTTGACGACAGGAACGAGGACAGGTTGAGGTACCTGGATGTGCACAGGGACCGGTTGGGGCACAGGAACGGCGACAGGCACGGGATGAGGCACTTGAATGTACCTCAGGACAGGTACAGGCACAGGTTTAGTGACCTCGATCGTCTGGGAAATGGGTACGGCGTGCCCGTAGCTCACGATTCCGCCCTCGTGTTCGTTCGTGCTGTAGCCGGTGGCAATCCCACGCTTGTCCTGTTGCTTCTGTGATAGGTCTTCGGCAGTGGATACTGCAGCCAGGGCTAAAACAGTTACCATATAGACCTGTAACAGCAAAATATTAATCATTTGTAGCCCAGTGGTTACTAATGATATTGTATTGTAGCATCCTGTTGCACTTCTCACTTGCATCGATCATTCACCGGCTTACGTGTAACACCACATTCCAGAAAACATCACCGTTACAAGTTCAAAAGTTTTTTTTTTTAAGTTTTAAAATACACTACATATTTGGGCAAAACATGACCATCATCGGATGTTAAAAATATGTGTAATGAGAAAATCGCTGCTTTCACTTGTTGCTGATGCATATGCGGCCCCTCTGATGTGTGTGTGTTTTGTGGTTAGTGTGTTATGCTCCTCCCTTTTGTGTTAGTTGCGTGTTTTGATCTGACTGCTAATGCACATAACAAATGTACAAAATAACAGAACAACACATATTCTTCTTGTGTGATTGTGAATGCATGTCTAAGAATACTCGTATATATACACGATATATATATATATATACACACACGAGGGTCGTACTTAAAGTCATGAGCAACAATTTTTTGTAAAGTAACATGCTTTATTATTGACAAACCAAATACACCACCTCAATCTACAGACCTCTCTTTATTTTCCCACATAATCGCCACTTCTTTGTACACATTTCTCGCAGCGTTCTGGGAGTTTGAAAATTCTCCTTATGTAAAATTCCGTTCCAGCCATCCGAAGACACTGATGCACTGCTGTCTGAATTGCCTCCCTTGTCTCAAAATGTTGTCCATGCAGCTGTTCCTTCACAAATCCGAAAAGATGGTAGTCGGAGGGTGCCAGATCAGGGCTATAGGAGGGTTGTGGAAGAACTTCCCACCCCATCTTTGCAATTGCTTCCAATGTGAGGCGAGCGGCGTGGGGGAGACCGTTGTCATGCAGGATGATGATGTTTCGTCCCGGACGTCTATCGCGTAATGCACGTCGGAGCTTGTGCAGCGTCTGGACATAACGAGCAGCATTGATGGTTTGTCCAGGTTCCAGGAATTCGGCTAGAATAAACCCCTCTGCATCCCAGAAGACTGTGCCCAACACTTTCGCAGCTGCTGGCACTGTCTTTGCCTTCTTTTTTGATGAAGAATGCAAATGGTGCCGTTCCATACTCTACCGTTTCGTTTCAGGCTCGAAATGGTGAAACCAGCTTTCGTCACCTGTCACAATATAGAGCAAAAAATCATTGCGTTCGTGTCGATATCTCTGCAGCAGTTCTGAAGTGATGGCTTTTCGCTGACCTTTGTGGTCTTCGGTCAATAACCGCGGGACCCAACGAGCACAAACTTTCCTATAGCCCAAGCTTTCAATCATCTCCTGTACTGCACTGTGCCCTATTCCAAGTTTTCGGACTATTGTGTCCACAGTCACACGCCTGTCATCTTGAATGATCTCATCCACTCTTTTCTTGTTGCGTTCAGTTGAGGCCATTCGAGGACGACCGCTCTGAGGCTCATCTTCGATGCTGGTGTTCCCATCTTTAAAATGTTTCACCTATCTTCGAACTCTGCTCGCACCCATGCACACACTTCCATAAGCACGCTGAAGTCTCTGGTGAATTTCTGCAGCAGGGATTTCCTCTTTCACAAGAAATTCGCTGACAGCACGCTGGCGAAACGACATATCGTTGTCGGCCATTTTGTTAGGAGTGATACTGGTCACGTGATGCGAGCTATTGACGTCACAAGACACTGGAGGTTAACACAACACCTGGTTCCACCTACGACCATACCCTCTTTCGTCTGCTGTTCCCAGGTTGCATGCAAAAAAAAGTTGCTCATGACTTTCGGTACGACCTACGTATATATATCAATTCCAGTTTCAAAAATTCGACGTCGCACTGAATGTTTTCTTTATAACCACTTTACACTGGCCGAGTAGAAAACACCGTTTCCAAAAGTAAATCTATTGTTGCATGCGTGTTCGTTGCCTCAGAAACATGTTTACCGATCCGTTGCCTAAAAACTGGATGCATAACATCGTTGTTTTTTCGCCTATTGCATAACAACGGCTATGCACGCTACAATACGTAATATGTTACTGGTCGGGCCGACTTCTCAGAAGGAATCTGAGCCCGCGCTGACCTTAGTTATTAGAAACGTAATTTGTTTGTACACTGACATGACGTCTGAACGCTGCAATCTGCCCATATGCTGGCCTGGGCTTCGCCGAGCACGTTCCCATGGCAACACGGAATGCACCGCTGCTGGACGGCGAACTGTTGGAACACGCTTGAATGCAACTGAATAAGCAATGTACTGCAAAGAGATTGACTTCGATTCCTAGGCACCGCATAGAGAGGCGTTTCCGTTACAACGGATAGGCAAAGATTGTTCACACAGCAACGAAAGCCATACGCGAAATAGGAACCCTTGGAGACGGTGATCTCCATACGGTTCGACCAAAACCTATCTCGGGGAGATAGAATCCAAGAGGATGAAACGATAGACCCGTCGTTTCGTCAGAGAGAGTGCCCCACATCAACAAACTTGCAACTGTCTGACAGTAATAAAGATCTGGTCTTAAGCTCCAAATTGGTGCTTTATTCCAAGACAGACTGGCCGACTGATCGTCGGTCGTGACGTTGCTTTGACAAGAAGTTTAGATGCTGGGGTGTCTTACTGACTGAGCCAGAGAGATTAGATATAGACTTGCTCACCTAATTCGTACAAGCAGCATCCAAGAGTGGAAGCGTTGAAGACTTTGTTTGTTATTGTTCCAGTAATCGTTTGAAGTGTTATAAAAAAGTAAAACAAGTAAGTGAAGGCCCATAGGGTTGTGAGACGTTGAGGGTCCCACATTATCTAGACAGTCGGCTCAAAGATGGCGGTAAGGTTGTCAGCTTTACGCCCCTGCCGCGCTTTACTCCCCAGGAAAATTATTTAATTAATTCCTGGTAGTCATTTCTGTTTTGAACGGAGAAGTTCATGGAGGTAGGCCTAGGCCCACTGGGGCTGTAGTGCCAAGGAAAAAAACACTCATTTCTGTTAGAGGCTGAGTCGACCCCAGGGCCACAGTGCGGCTGGAAGGATTAGGTCAATTGAAAAAAATCCAATTACCTCATCGGGACTTGAACCCGCGACCTTCCGGCTTGTAGCATAGCCCTTCAACCAGCTACGCTACCACGTGCCCCCCCACCCTGAATTGTTATAAGCATTTGTATATCCGCCTGGTGATTGTCCAATAAATCCAGAGAATCAGTTAATTACTCGTCGCGTTACCAGCATAAGCGACGATACAGTTAATCTGACAGCTTTAAATGCGGGGAGGATCACTATTTACATTTGAGATTATGTTCGTATTTTGATTGTGCTGGTTAGTAAATTTAGTCACGCGGCAAAATCTTGAGCCGGTACTTACCGGAAACTTCATGGCTCCGAAGTTTGTGTTCATCTGGGAGCTTCAGAGGACGAAGTGCGTAACTGTTGAGTACGCTTAGCTTGCTTATATCGGCTACACTTTCACTGCATGCAGCGTGCAATCCCTCCCTCCCGCCGCACTCCCTTTGATTACGCACAAATTAACCACAGTGGCTCCCATTGTTGCCAGGTAGATTCAATTTGCTCCACATATTTTGTTGTGTACACGTACTGAACCACTTCTGCGCGGGAGGTGCCCCGTTCGTGTCGTGATCAGGACATCGACAGTCCTAACTGTGATTTTTCGTGGTCTCCGTCACTCCCTTCAAGCAAATGCCGGGATAATAGTAAGTAGGCCACGACTGTTTCCTTCCAGTTCCTTCCCAAGTCATTATTCACTCAACGATGTAACCGAATATGTTGGTCTAGCCCTGGCAACCCAGACCAGTGTTCCACAAATTTTCGGCAACTGTGGACCACTACATGGAAAGTCGGCGCAGGTGCGGACCACTCCGTTGTCATAAAATTTACATCAGCCGCAAAGAACACGCTTTATGCTTTTCTTTGCAAATAGAAAAGTTATGGTTAAAATTACCATAAACCACTTTTTTATATCCACCAATTTAAAGTAAATTTTAAACAAATATTCGCCACAGTTTTTTAATTAAATCGTTTTATTTATTATGTGTTATACTCGTATATTACTCTATGGGCCATCTGGTGAACCGCTACGGACCACATTTTGAGAATCATTAGTCTGTACTTGTATTATTAAGGTGCAAATTTCAAATTTTGGCCATGATTAAGGTCTGCTCATGACTTCTCTTAGTCCCTCCAGGCAAATACCGGAATAGCACCTGGATTAAGACAAGACTCCTTCCTTCCAGATACTTTCCCATTCATCAGTCATCTCAGCATTCAACGCTTTGTAGTCTGAGATACTCCAACACCATCGTTAAAGAAATCATACTGTGACGTATATGAATGTGACTATAGACGGGGTTTGGATTGATGATCTAAATTTATTGAACTCATTAACACAACTCGTGATTACATTTTACAGATCACTGTCAACACAGATTAGTGTTTTCAGTCTGTTACAGTCCCCATTAACCGTTCCTTTGTAACGGCTTCCAACGGCGGAAGTTCCCCTTCCTCTGGGTTTCCAAAGTATCCCCGGCCTCAGTTCTCAGCTTCTCATAGCAGCAGCTCACTACGACTGAACTTCAGCGATTTTATAACTGACTCGCTCACTTACCCACCAACCAATTGTTCACTTGAGTCGGAATCAGTGTTACTTTACGACTGGCGGTTTACTACCAGTCATTTTATCTTGGAGCCAATCTCCTTGAGGCTCAAGACTGCAGATTCTTTTTTGAAACTGAACACTTGCGGTCATAGTCCTTCCTCTTTGAGGAGAGGATTCGTTTGTCACTTGACTGACTGTGTACTGCTTATAACATCCCGGCACGGACCGCGTAGAAAATACTGCTTCCCCTTATTGTATCCAAAGGCCGTGTAAACATGCTTATTTGCTGAGCCGTTACTTAGTAACGGCTGTTTTATAGTTGCTTCTTTCGCGGTCGTTGCCTAACAACGCGTCTACATGAAACAATATATTAATAGATTTAAGCATTATAGCCGCAACATTGC